CCTGTCTCCTACGTGTCAGAATCTCCCACTTAGGCTCATTCCCTGAGCCTTTCACTCATTAGTGTGCTGGCAAATGTCTAACTTGCTCGGGAAAGGAGAAAAAAGCCCAGTTATAGCACTGGTTTGTGGCCTTGGCTGGTTTCTGTGGTATAAATACTCCCACATAACTTATCTCGAGTTACAAGCATGAAGTCAACTAATACAGCCTTGGAAATGGACAGGAGAACATGAGTTCTCTCTGTCCCATTACTCTGTTTTATTTTTCTTCCACAACACTTTTACTTTTGAAATTATCTTGGTGAACTGTCTAGTTATTTACTGTCTGTTTTCCTGACAGGAATGTCAGCACCATAAAGGCAGGGACCTTGTCTGTCCGGTTTTCTGATTGTTCTCAGTGAATACAAAATCAAAGTTAATTGGAAAGATTCCCAAAATTAAGAACACTGTAAACCATTAAAAAAAAGAGATTGATTCAAGCAAAATACTCACATCCTCAATATCAATAACACCGCCCTTTTGTTTAGAAAAAGGAATAACCACGACTAGTAACAGCAAATGCTTAACCCTGGCTCAGACAACAAAAATGTGTCAGGTACACATACTTCCATCCATACAAAGGACGTTTACAGATGTCCAGCTGGGACACACACAACCCAAGGTTGCAACCCTATCATTCTTAATAACACACAGGCCATTATCTTATGGTTACAGAAGGGCAAACAGAAATGTCATGTATTGCCATTGTTCTGTTTTTATTAATCCGGCTAGCAGGCTCACCCTCCCATACCCTGAATTTACTTTACCTGCATGAATTAACATCCGCAAACATTCTACAGAGTTGTGATAAGCTGCTTCGTGAATTGGCATCCATCCCCTATTATCAGCAACATCAACGCTCAGTCCCTTTTTGAGCAGTTTCCTTAAGACTTTAACATTGCCTTCCCTGGCAGCAAGTCCAACCATGGAGCATGTGTCAGAGTAAGCCTCTGTAAAATCCATTCTTTTGACCAGTCTACAAAACAAGGCAGAAAGAAAACACTAGAGTCAATAAAACAACACTAAACTCCTAGAGATTAACAGATCGAAGTGGGCCTGTCCAGCATCTCTCAAATGACTGCTGAAGAAGAGCGTGAGATGGAGAAATAGACCCGTCCCGCCTGAGCCTCTGCTAGAGTCTAACCCGGGGAGTCTCTCTGGGGAACTAAAATTCCTTGGCATGTTCTTAACAAAGATATCAAGGGAATTTTAAGTGTTCTGTCATTCTTTCTCTGGCAGTGCTGTCTGAGCAGCTCCTTCATGCAGGCGTCTGCTCCTGCTCATATCCCCCTTAAATGTACTCATTAGAACTGTTAATGAGAGAGAGAGAGCTAATGCCTGCAAATTAATCCCAAATGCATACAGAGATGGTCATTTAATGACCATCAGCCTCAAGAATTAATTTATAGCCCTTTACAGCAAAATGCTAAACCTAATAAGGCTAGAAAAGAAACGAAGGACATTTTATTGAAAAGAACAAAGACAGCCCTGATTGGCTGGCTCAGTTTCTCCCCGCTCCCCCAATCAAAAACATATCCTCGGGTAAGGATTTAAAAAGAACAAAGATAAGTAGTAAATCTAGTTTTTCTGCCCCATGTGGTCCTTTTCAGAAGGAGCTAAACACTCAGGTTCTCTTTCTTTGATGAAACAGTCCCGCTAACTGAATGTATTAAAACACATAAAGAACACCATAAAAAGATGAGTACGCCTTTCCCACACCAGCCCAGAAATTTCATGGCATAGTGCCCTCTTCCTCAACTTCGTTTCAAGTAAGGGTACAATGTAACTCTCAGTACTCGACTCTGGCAGAGGCAGTTTCTTGTTAGTCACACCATGTGGTGGACCGGGCTCAGATTCAGGGTTCTTAGGCGAGTAGTTAGCTCCCATGGGGTAGACTCTCTCAGTAACACTCTGATCTCATCCTTCCTCTTAGTTTTCTAATCATCATAGGAGGTAATTAAAAAAACACCAACATGTCTAGTCTGATACAGGTGAAAAACTTTCTAGAACCACATTATAAATTTATCCAGAAAAGGAAGGTTTGAGGGAAGAGGTTTAAAAAAAGCACACAATATTTCCCACATTAAATTTAAACTTATCCATGGTCACATTTAAATATAAAGCTATAGCCCTGGCTGGTGTAGCTCAGTGGATTGAGCGCGAACCTGCGAACCAGACAATCGCGGTTCGATTCCCAGTCAGGGCACATGCCTGGGTTGCAGGCCAGTTCCCAGTGGGGGACGCACAGGAGGCAACCACACACTGATGTTTCTCTCCCCCTCTCCTTCCCTTCCCCTCTAAGGATAAATAAAATCTTTAAAAAAAATAAAGCTATAACTGCAGAAGTTGATTCTACAATGAGCCAAACAGCTAAGGTTAGCTATGGATTAATTTAATCAGATCAACTGGACCATTATTAGTAAAGATATTTATTATAAAAACATTTAATTATTCAGTTAAGTTATTTACTGAGCACCAACTAGATGATTAGCAATGAAAAGGATATAAAGATAACATGTAGATTCAGTTATATATACAGTCTCACAGAAATAATAAATACATGTTATTCAAAATAAAAAAAGCAGAAAGTGCCATAAGAGAAGCACAAAGAACCACAGCAGACAAAAAAGAGAGAACTACTTCAACTTGCTGACGGGACATGAGTGGGGCTAAGAACAAGATAGGGAGGGTCTGACACCAGGCAGGAGGAAAGACATAACCAAACGTACAGACGAACGAGCAAGGCTGAGTAAAGGACGGTAAATCAGGGGGACAATTTTTTCCCTTTGTAAGGAGGATTAGGCAAACAAAGAACAGTAAGAAAATGAGATTACAGAGATAACTGAAGCCAACCTGTGGAGAATCTTGAATGTTAACCTATACTTTTTTCCAACCATGCTAATTTCTAGCCATAGCCACTACACCCAAGTTATACACACATGTGCACACACACACTTTAAAGCAATTTATAAGCATATTTATCTAACACAAGAAAAAAACACTTTCTGTGCAGGAAAAACACAAACAGAAATAACAACCCTACTGCAAAGACAGTAAAAACAGCATTCAAGCAGAAACAGGTATGCATAGTTTTCAAAATCTGACTGACTTTTCTCATGGTCAGGAACAATGTTAACGGATCCAGGCGCATAGGCAATAATCTGGAAAAATATCACAACTGGGCAATATCTTTGAGCTTCTTATGGAAAGGAGACGTCAAAAGTAATCCTGTAATAGCAGGATCATTCCCTTCGACCCTTAATACCAACTGGCTAACATAAACTGCTTATAAGATCTCCCTTCATAAGAACTTTCCGCTGTTCTAGACTAAAACAGTACAAGCAACCACATGTGTAAACCTCAAATGGATCCTGGATCGGTGAAAAAACAGCTACAAAAGCAATTTTGAGATAATTAAGGAAATCTGAATATAAAATAGACATTTGATGATGTAATTACTTAATTTTCCTAGAGTGATAATGAATGGCACTGTGGTTATTAGGAGAATGTCTTTATTCTTGTATTTAGCAATGAAAAATCGTAACGCATACAAATTACCTCAAATGTTTTAGATTAAAGAGTACATACAGAGAAAAAAAACAAAACTATGGTAAAAACATTATTGGACCCACATTGATGGTATATATAAATGATCACTACACTTTTTTTCCTCCAACTTTTCTGTATGTTGGAAATATTTTTTAATTTTTATTGTATTTTTTCAATTACCATTTAACCCAGACAGTCCTCTCCCCACCGCAACCACCACACTCGTCCACGTCCATGAGTCCTTTTCCCTTTTTGTTCTATCCCTTCACCCCCTAATGTTCAACTTTTCTGTATGTTTGAAATTTTTCAAAAAAGTTATGGGAGGTGGAGGAAAACTAACCATCTTAAGCAATGTGAAACTACAACTTAAGACAAAATATAAAAACACGTGGTTATTCTTAAACTCAGTTTCTCTTTGTAGCAGTTTCCTGGTGATTTCTTAAGAGCACAAATAATACTTTTTGAACCTGGGTGTTACCTCATTTTTTTAATAAGCTAAAGACCATGAAATAGTTAGAAATCCTCAAAAAAGAACCATTGTTTGGTAAGGCTTTTACTTTCACATACAGAAACAGAGTAGTGGTATTAGCTCTAACCAGCAGATTGTAACATTTTTTAGGACCCTTGTCCTGCTGGGAGAACTCATGAAGGCTTATAAAGTTTCTTCTCAGAAAAATGCATGTAGACCCCAAATATTGTATACAGTTTCAGGACGTTCCCCTGATAGCTTCCAAAGCCTGTATATGAGCTGAGAACCTTTGCCTACTCTTTTCTGAGGAAGCTGCTGAGAATACTGAAGACGTATAAGGCTGTTTTTCACGTAAAATTTAAATATATAAGAAAATTTTGATGTATTAATAGCTCTTGGGCAAGAATAAAACTTCTGTAATAAACTTCCTGTTTTTATTTGAAAAGCAGATGATTTTTAAAAGTGTAATAAAGTCAAATATGGATTGCATTCCCAGCTTGCGTTCCTATGGCTGCTGTTATAAGAGCAGAAATCCCGTTTTTAAAGCAGGACAAAAAGTTGTTCTACGTGCCAACTGCCATACACATATTATCTCTTCTCGGTATCCAGAGCACATCCAGGACTCCTGCCCTTGCCCTTGCCCTTTCCCTTCCCCTACCCCAGTTTATAAAAGCTGACGGTTCCAACCCCAGAGCCACAAACCCCAGACAAGGATTGTGGGTACTGTAGTCCTCTGCACTCACGCACTAGAGGAAGGTTTAAAGGTGGTTTACGGAGGCAGCAGGACAATTTTTGCTTAGCATGCTGAAGGTCAATGCTACCTGCTACCCTAAGGAAGAAAATAAAATAATAACGTTGACCAAGATAGAGCCGAGAACGCACATCGAACTTCATGTCCCAGTGTATTTTGCGCCACCAGCCAGGCTTTGCGCCTAACGCGCGCCTGCGCCCTCCTCAGCCGGTAACTCGCCTTGGACTAGCCAAGGACCCGACGGCACTCCACCACTGTTGCAGCAAAAGTGCAGGCAAAAATGTGGGTTTTTGGTTACGGGTCCCTAATCTGGAAGGTGGATTTCCCGTATCAGGACAAGCTGGTCGGATACATCACAGGCTACAGCAGGCGCTTCTGGCAAGGCAGTACAGACCACCGTGGAGTCCCCGGCAAGGTGAGCTGCCAGCCAGTGCCCTACACTTATTGTCCCCCGAACGCTGTTCGCCACCGCTTGCCCATCTATCTCTGCGGGACCCACACCCTAAAGCTTTCCAAGGCCAAGTATGCGGCTTAGGGATAATGCTGTTACATCTATGGATCTTCCTCAGCTACCTGACTCCCACCTCTCCCAAACCTAGAGTACTCCTTCCAAATCTATGAGACTCTAGCGGTTAGTTTCTGGCGCAGACAAGAAACGAGGGCACAAGCACAGAAGCTCGCACAAAGCTGACGTGCAGACAAGGGACCCCCTGTCTTGGCAACCTCTGCAAAAAAAAAAAAAAAGAAAGAAAAAAAAAGCAAGCGGGAAGATCAATCTTTGAGTTGAAATACTAATATCAACTTGCAGATTCAGCTTTTTAGCAATTAAATCCATTAGCATTTCTGCATTTGACAGACTTTCATTGGTTTGAATTTAAACGTGTAAGTTATTTCTGAGTTTTCTTTAGTATCTTTCCAAAGGTTTATTTTATGACACCTGCAGTCAGAAAAATATTTTCCAAAATTACCTGGGGTTATTATGAAACTTTGAATGCTCTGACGGTCAGGTACTGTACTAGCAAAGTTACACTAAAGAGCTCCTGGTTTGTTACCTGAGTACACAGTATCCATTACTATATCCAGCATTATTTTAATGTTTCTCAATGGCTCTTCTTTAAATTATAAATGTGAAATGTAAGTTCTTTGATCCATTTTTCAGTCAATCACTCAAAGACACTCATGTCAATCTATTTGTACAGAATATTAGTCGCAGCTCTCTGCTTATGGAAATCAGCCTTGTAGTGGCTGTAAAGCAAATAATCCATAAGTAACATTTAGTTTGGGGTAACTAACAATTTGCATAATTCAACCACTTGTTTTAATTAACCTCATAACTTTTCAAAGAGTTTAACATTTTTTATTGCTTATGTTCTGTAAATACTCCAAAAGTTATATGAGTTCAATTACTGTTTTTTAAGTGATTAATATTGGCCCAAAAGCACAATATCTAAAATGCCAGAAATCAGTTGAAGAAAGAGATTAGGGTTAATTCCAAAGAAATACCTACAGCTGTGGAAGTAGGAAGTGAGAAAGGCCATCCAGTAGTTTGCACCTGCTCATAAAAAGAGACATAGGGTTAAAATCACAAAAAGAACCTGAGTCAGAAGCTATTTTGTCTCAACTAGAGTTGGGCTTTAAGGTAAATAGATGGCTTGAAAACAGGGGAGTGACTTAGAGCAAATGCACATTTATAGGCCAGCAGAAAAACTTCATGGCCAAAGTATCTCTAAGAATGTTAAAAAACAATATTTAAGACTTCAAGGAACTAAGTTAAATAAAATGTCTTGAATTATCGGGCATGAACACTAATATTGCCATTCTGGGAAGAAAAGCCTTAGCCTAGCCTCCACTTTTAATTATTTTTCTTAAAGATTTATTTATTTTTAGAGCGAGGGGAAGGGAGGGAGAAAAAGAAGAGAAACATCAATGTGAGAGAGAACCATTGATCAGATGCTTCTGGTATGAGCTCCTAGCCTGAACTGGGGACTGAACTCACAACTAAGGCACGTGGCCTGAGCAAACTTACCCTTCACTTTGCAGGACAATGCCCAACCAAGTCACACCAGTCAGGGCTTAATGACCAAGTATTAAATATTTACATACAAGGTTATAATAGCATATTTCCCTACTCCAGTCTCAACCAAAATGTACAAGTTTGTTACAGAGGACATCAAGATATGTACAGTGTGAGAACAGACTGATAAGAAATTGCCAAGTCAATACAACATGGTTCTCTAAAAGAAGGCAGTATCTCTCTTTTTACTTAAATTTACTAAAATATAAGGCAGGAAAGTTAGGGAGAACAACTGCAATTGTTTTTAAATGTAATACTTTTACACCTACTTTTATTTAAACAACCCATCATAGCAAATTAAAGGAAAGTCTAAGTACTAAACATTTTCTAAGTATAATGCTCTGTTTAAAAAATGGAAAAAACATAATTTACTTCACATTTTTCACTATAATGGATCACCAGCCTTAGGTAAATATTAACTGTCTGATAAACAAGAATACAAAAGCCTGCAGAAATATCCTGCAAATTAAAAGAAAAGTATGGATGCTGCACCACACTACGTTTCTACAGCAACACATGCTCCTCCTCAGCCGTTACTATGTATTAAAGGCAACATCATTAAACAAACATTAAACTGCTTTCCACATACTGCAATGTGTTATTTGTGGGGAAAAAATAATGAACCTACTTGCTTTATTAATATATGCTTTCTTTCTGGCTTCATTAAACTTTAATCTTTTACTAAGTTTAATCAAGCATCTCATACATAACAAACCGGCAATTTCTCATCAAATTAAAGATTTATTTAAATGGGAAATTGTTTTCACATCAGAGAAAATAAAAATAAATTTCAAAAAAGAGGAAACATTTAACACAAGCTAATCATGAGCACTTTCTAAACCTCTAACTTTTCTGGATTGGCAACATTACTCATTACCCAATGAAAGCACGCAGCACGATGCACAGTGGAACCGGAAAAGATCCTCCAACTCCAGTCAGCGGGAGAGACCCCTCCTTCAGTTTCAATCTCCCAAAAAAGCAATTTAGTGCATTTACAAATTCACATTGTTTCCCAATAACATATGTACATTTTAGGGAGAAAAAAACAAGTTTTAGAAAATATTTCCTTATAAATATGTCAGTATTGCAAGCGGTCCATGTCTTATATCCATAAGCAGTCACAGGGATCCATTAATTTTTTTCCTTAAGATGACTCCCCATATAAAACTGTTCTGTTTCAACTGCCACCACCTAAGTCCAAGATTCTACTACCCTCCTCTTCCTTTCAAAAATTACTATTGAGCGCTTACATATAAGTGGGGGATACCTATGCAAAGAACAATACTTGGGTACTACTATAAAGGAAAATAATAAAAGGTATAATGAGAGTTTAGGAGAAGGAGCTACTATGCAGTCGTCTGGGGAGTCAGCCAAGCCTTTATGGAGAAAGTGGCAGGAGAATATCACAGAAATATAAAAGAAGAAAGGGCATTCCACACTGGGTGCTGGTACATCCAAAAGTATGAATGTTTGTAAAAGTTATAAATGATTCAGTATAGCTTGAGAACAGTGTGTAAGAAATAAGGTTTGTGGTTAACTCATGCTAAGGAATCTGTATTTTATCCTGTAGAAAATAACCCCAAAAAATTCAGAGCACAGGAGTGGCCCGGTTTTTGCACTGAGAAGTTATTCTAGGCCCAAGTAGAGAACAGAATGAAGGGAAGCAAAACTAGAAGCAAGAAGTGAGATCCCTAAGAAAGCCCCTGAAGGATGAAAAAGAAACCAAACGCAGATTACCAGAAAACAGCTATCAAGTACTGGTGCCTTGGTTGGAGGTAAAAGGAGGCAAGGAAGGGTGCAGCACAGCACTGTCACCACTACATTTCTTACTGAGAGTCCACCTCCTTCCCACTCTACTCCCCATACTACACACTTTACCACGATGATCTTCCCACAACACTTCTTTTATCATGTGAGTCACCTCCTACTAAGTTCTAGAGTGGCTCCTTATTTCCTTTTTCTCCCAAATTTCAGCAACTTATTTCCCACTGGCCCCTAATTTCAACTCTACTCTTGGCTTTTCAAAGCTGACCTGTGTCCTATTTCTGCAGTTATCTTTCTGAATCCTCTTCCCTACATGGGGGACCCTTAGCTAAAGTCAGACACTTGGCCTGGTATAATTCTGCCTCTAGGCCCTCACTCCTCAATAGCAGACTCAGAATTCTTACTGCACTTAATATCATACATCTTAGCCATTAAGTATTCTCTACCTATTTCTCATGTCCACTTCTTATTCCAGTATAAGCTCTTGGAAGTAAGAATCAACGTTTTATCTTCTCTACAACACAGAGTGTGTATTCACTTAGAAATAGCGAATTCACTTAGAAATGGGAACTATTATGGCAGTACCCACATGACCCACAACACTATATGCACTGTCATTGTAACATTATCTCAAGTAGAAAACAAATCAAATCTAAATGTCCTAATATAAACACAGTAATGTTTATACTTCATTGATTACAGAATGTTACACAAGTATTAAAATGTATAAGAAGACTAACAGGGAAATAAACAAAATCCAAAAATGTCATATATTCCATGATTACAAATTATCTATACAAGTAGACAAAGACTAGAAGGAAACAGCAACAAGGATGACACCAATAATCTTAAAGATTTAGGCTATATGCTAGACAATGTGCATCAAGTAAGTAAAATTGTGGTTTATAATTCAACACTCTTACTAATGATGTTGACATATCAGTACACACATAACCTTTGGCACCAGGTAGCAATTATACAAGTCAGAAACTCTGAGAGTGTGACCTAGCAATATGTTTATCGAGCCCTCCAATTTTGATCTTGAGTTTAAGAAACACTTCCTTATAAAAAGCACCTTGGAGTGCCATGTTTTGTTCCCTAATAAATTTCATATATTTTTATTTATAACTGCCTCTTCCTTCTGCCTTTCATTTCAGATGAGCATTAGTCACAGGTGTGTTTTTTAATATATCCATTTTAAGTCAAATTAAAATATACCTAATACATACAAGTTGAAGAGAATGACTTAGAAAACCAAAATAGTTTAGATAAAATAGATTCTTTTACTTAATTCACATCAAAAACATAAGAGCTTTTAGTATGAGCAAATGAAGTTGAAATATTGCATGTCAATAATAAATTGCTAATGTCTGGTTAGTTGATGAACTTTGATTCAGGAAAAAAAATTGTTTTTTTTACTTTTTTTAAAACAGCCTGGAAGAGTTGTGACTCTTGTTGAAGACTCTGGGGTATGGTATAATTTTTTTATAGCCTTTAATCATATAAGTTGTTGAGATGTTTCTCAGTTTTAGTAAAAAATGGAATTGTATTAGGTCATTATAGATGATTTGAACTGAACTAGATCTAGAATTCCTCTCTGTATTCACCTGCTAGAAACAGTTGGAATGCAGAACAACAAAAGAAAACCAAATGGCATGTAGTCCCATTTATTTTTCTTAATGAGTTTGTTGACTATTTTGCATTCCTCTGTGACATGAATAGGTCCAGCCCGACTACTAACCAAGAATCAAATGGGACCTGAGACTTCCGGCCAAGAGGAGGCATAGGTAGATACACTTTGTTTCCTCGCACAACCAAAAGGACAACAAATTTAAAAACAAAAAATAACCCAAACTGCCGGAAATTCAAACTGTGTGAAAGTCTGACAACATAAGAGTTAAATTATCTAAGAAAAAGAAGATGATAAAAAATATGAACAGCAAAATGACAACAAACTCACACCAGCAACTGGACCAAACAAAAAGAAAAACAAACTAAGCAAACAACTAGAATAGGAACAGATTCACAGAAATGGAGATCACAGGGAGGGAGCAAGGGGAGAATGGAGGAAAAAGTACAGGAAGTAAGAAGCATAAGGGGGTAGGTTCAAAATAGACCAGGGGAGGTTAAGGATAGTATCCATAAGGAAATGGAGAAGCCAAAGAACTTTTATGTACAACCCATGGACATGAACTAAGGAGGGGAGATGCAAGTGGGGGGAGTGCAGGGCAGACAGGAATAAAGGGGCGAAATGGGACAACTGTAATAGCATAATTAATAAAATATATTTTAAAAAGCTGAAAGACAAATGGGGAGAAAGATGAGTAACTCTATATAACTAGGCTGTAGGAACCTCTTTAGAAAGAAAAAAAAAAAGAATCAAATGGAAGCCTTAAAGCTCTCCATACATTTACTAGGACTCTAATATTTTCAGCAAAAAGCCCAAGTAGGAGAGATTACCTGCTTTATTGTCTAAATTTAACAATAGCACAACAGGTTTTTTAACAGGTTGGAAGCACTAGAAAAGTCTTATTTTCTCAACAGTCTTCTGTTTCTTAAATATTTTCAGTCATTTAATTGAGGTATAGATTTAAAGTTTTATACTGTGAAGTTAAAAGTTTTAAATTTGGAAAGGGCTGTGATATACATAAATCAGCAGCTAGCAACAGCCCATGATTAATGGTAAAATTATGAAATGCCTTCATAATTTACATTATAGAAATGGCTTTAAACTAGTAACTATCTCTTAATTAAAAAGTTAATAAATGGTACTGTTTCTACAGAATGTTAATTCACTCAAGATGCTTTAGCAATGTAAAGTTTAATAAATAAATTTTGTCAAGAAACTGGAAAATCCATATTACAAACTGTAAGTCTTGCTTGTATCAGATGTATTTTTATTTTTTAATAATGTTTTATTGATTATGCTGTTAGTTATCCCAATTTACTCCATTTGCCCCCTTCACCCAACAGCCCCTACTCCCTCAGGCAGTCAGCCCACCATTGTTCATGTACATAGGTCATGTGTGTAAGTTTTTTGGCTACTTCATTTCCTATATATTTTACATCCCCATGGATATTATGTAACTACATCTGTACTTCTTAATCCCCTCACCCCTTCACCCATTCCCCCATACCACCTCACATCTGGCAACCATCAAAACATTCTCCACATCCATGATTCTATCTCTGTTCTTCTTGTTTGCTTAGTACTTTAGATTCAATTGTTAGTAGATATGTATTTATTGCCATTTTATTGTTCATAGTTTTGATCATCTTTTTCTGAAATAAGTCCCTTTAACATTTTATATAATAATGGTTTGGAGAACCATTATTTATTTGGTGAACTCCTTTATTTATTTATTTTTGGGAAGTCTGGGAATCTCTTTATCTGCCTTTGATTGTAAATGATAGCTTTGCTGGGTACAGTAATCTTGGTTGTAGGTCTTTACTTTTCATGACTTTGAATCAATGCCTTCTAGCCCGCAAATTTTCTTTTGCAAAATCAGCTGACAATCTTATGGGAACTTCCCCCATAGGTAACTAACTGCTTTTCTCTTGCTGCCTTTAAGATTCACTCACTGTCTTAAACATTTGACAGTTTAATTATGATGCATCTTGGAGTGGGCCTCTGCATCCATCTTGTTTGGGACTCACTGTGCTTCCTGGATTTGCATGTCTATTTCCTTCACCAAATTAGGGAAGTTTTCTTTCATTATTTTTTCAAATAGATTTCCAATTTCTTGCTCCTTCTCTTCTCCTTCTAGCACACCTATGAGTGAATGTTGAAATGCTTGAAGTTGTCCCTGAGGCTACTACTTACGCTATCTCTGTTTAATTGGATACTTTTTTCTTCTTGTTGCTATGATGGCTTGTTTTCTGCTTCCTTATTTTCCAAATTAGTGATTTGATTCTCAGTTTCATCCACGGTACTGATATTTTCCTGTAAATTGTTCTTTATTTCAATTAGTGTATCCTTCGTTTCTGACTGGATCTTTTTTATGCTTCTGAGGTCCGCACTAAGTTCCTTGAGCATCGTTATAACCAGTGTTTTGAACTCTGCATCTGATAGATTGCTTATCTCCATTTCATTTAGTTATTTTTTTAGAGTTTTGATCTGTTCTTTCATTTAGGCCATCTTTCTTTGTCTCCTCATTTTGGCAGTTTCCCTGTGTTTGTTTCTAAATATTAGGTAGAGCTGCTATGACTCCCAGTCTTGGGAGCATGGCCTAATGTAGCAGGTGTTCTGTAGGGTCCAGTGGCACTGCCTCCACTATCACCCAAATTGGGTACTCAAGGTGCACCCTTCGTGTGGTGAGTACACATTCCATCTGTAGTTGAGCTTTGATTGCTGTTAGCAGATCAATGGGAGGGATTTACTCAGGCTAGTCAGCTGCAAGGACTGGCTGTGGCCACCAACCTCTGCCCTTTGTGGAGGATCAGCTGTGAAGGACAGGGTGGTGGTGCTCGGACATAGTCTGTAGCTGTCCACTGGGTGTGCAGGCTCTGGGGTTTCCCATATGGTGCAGACCAAAGTCAGCTCCCACCTGTGTTCTGCCCAGGGCCACCCTGCATGAGCTATAAAGCAATCAGAGACGGCTGCTGCTTGTGCTGGGCTTGGAGATTCAGAGGTGAAGCCAAGCTGTGAATCTAGGCTGGCTGCTGCTAGTGCAGTGACTAGGACCACTTCACAAGAGGTTCAGGGGCTGGGAGCTCACTGAGGCAAACTGTTGCTTGTTTGATAGGATTTTGGAAGTTATGAAGCATGAGCCAAGATCAGCCATTCATATGAAAAAGTCATTATTAACTGCTTGGGTGGGCCCTTAAGTTGGGTGGGACCAGAGTCTCAGGGGATCTCCAGCACAGGTCAGACAGTGGTAATCAAGTTGATGGAGTCTCAGATATGGCACCCGCCTGTCAGCTCTGTGGCTCTGTGTGGGGAGGGTTCAGAAAAGGAGCAATGCCTCTACCCACTTTTCTGCCTGAGACAAAGCTATCCCCCAGCTCTTGCCTTGATGCCAGATACTTCGGTCCCTCCCTGTATTCTACTGGTGCCTTTCAAGCTGTTGCCTCATTGCTGGAGTTCAGAGTGAGTAAGTCTGACTAAGTCTGTGTGTGGGTTCTTTAAGAGGAACTGCTTGGGACTCCAGAAGTTTCTTTCATTGACTCAATCCCTGTTGAAGTTTTTGCAGCCAGAAATTATGGGGACTTACCTTCCTAGCACTAGAACCCTGCACTAGCGGATCTACTGTGGGGCTGGGACTTCTTGCTCCCAAGATATTCCTCCCAAATTTTCATCCACCACAGGTGAATGTGGGACCAGCCAATTCCACGTCTCCACCCCACTACCAGTCTTGACAGATGTGATTTCTTTAATTCCTTAGTTGTCAGGCTTCCATTCAACTCAATTTCTGATAGTTTTGAGTTGATGGTTGTTCTATATTTTAGTTGTAATTTTGACGTGGTTGTGTGAGGAGGCTAGCCATTTTACCTATGCCAACACCTTGATTCTATCAGCTTTTAGTCTTCCCACAGGCATTTTATTAATACTAAAAAAAATACTTGCATCTTACTGACACTTTGTTCTTGGGGGTCGCTTGACAAAAAGAGGTTGTCATGTAGTACTCTGGATAGAGACATTTACAAAGGATATTTGAAAGCTTAGGCACTGAAAAAATGAACCAATAATATGAAACTGCTATGGCCTTAAATAGTTGATTACTTGAGAACTTTTAAAACATAGAACCCTTTCTGCAAAAAAAAAAAAAAAAAAAGGAACACCTAATATGTAAAAAGATAAGCGATGCTCAGCTCCTAGCTGGAGGGGATCGGGGTATCCAAACCATTGGTGCCAGCAGCCCAAAAATCATATCCAGACAGCCTTTGAGGTAGACTTCAGGGTGGCTATAACACTCCATGCAGCAGTTTAGAAACTACTGCCCTATACCATTAGTGCAGAGCCTATGGATTTAAATTTTTAGAACTATAGTTTTAATGATCAAGATCAGTTATTTTTTAATTCCCGACTCATTAAATAAAAGACTACTTTCATAAATTTAAACAAAAATAAATGTCCTGGTTTGCAAGGAAATAATTTTTTCTGGTTGAAAAATTTTAAATGATTTCCTGTATTATTTAGTATGTACCTCTTCAATGCACTAAGTAAAGAGAATTGCATTGATTTCTAAGAATATTCAAGATATTTTCTTACATCACAACATATTTTCACCTGCATTTACCACTGTAAATGATAAATAATGTATTCTTTTCATTCTTCAATAGGGTTGTGTATGGGGTGTTGCTTACAAACTGCCAGTAGGAAAGGAAGAAGAAGTGAAAGCATACCTTGACTTCAGAGAGAAAGGAGGCTATAGGACCACGACAGTCACTTTTTACCCAAAAGATCCCACTACAAAACCATTCAGTGTGTTGCTATATATTGGAACATGTGATAATCCTAATTATCTTGGCCCTGCACCTCTGGAAGACATTGCTGAACAAATTTTTAATGCAGCTGGTCCAAGTGGAAGAAATACAGAATATCTTTTTGAACTTGCAAATTCTATTAGGAATCTTGTGCCAGAAGAAGCTGACGAGCATCTTTTCTCTTTGGAAAAATTAGTAAAAGAACGTTTAGAAGAAAAACAGAACTTCAGTTGCTTATGAAGACCTGATCATTGATTTTTCCAGAGAAGCAGAACTTTCAGTCTTCAGAGAATAGTTTCACTGTACAATGACAGTATGATTTGGAAACGTATTTACTTGGAAGATGTCATTTATTTTTAATGTTGCAGTCAAGATATCATCACAATCTGTAGTTTAATTGCAAATGTCCTGAAATGCATATGTATTCAAAATATTAGGGTATAATTAAAGAAAAAATTCAAGTTTTAATAATATAATGATTCCATAACTATATGACAATGAACAATTGCTAGTAAGAAGTGAGTTCCTTAAAAAAGAAATACAATGAAAGACTCAATTCACAACTTATTTTTTTCTCAGAGTAAAAACAATTTTGTTTCATATCACAGTACTATTTTGAAGTTATAGAGAATTACACTAAAATTGGTCCACAACATACAAGAAGGTATACACTTAATATATTCCTATACAATAATTCTATAACCATGGTTTAAAAATATACAAGCTTAAAATAATGTGTAATTAGAAATATATAGTAAGATAGATAAGATTTCAGTCTTTTTTAAAATTATTTTATTGTTGTAAAATTTCAGTCTTGATTGTGAATTCCTTGTTGAGGTATTAAATAATACCCTTTCCAATTTAAGCCAAAAATTTGTATTTTTAATATAAAAATTTCCTTGGAATTATAATGTACTATACTTCTCCTTTTTGAATAAATGTATTTTACTACACAGAAAAAAAAACTCATTCAGCTAAAAAGCACAAATTACATAACATAAATCCACTAGGAATGTAGTCTGTCATTTACTTTGTATTAATCTTATACTGAAATTTTTTTAAAGATGGGTTTTCTTTTTTCTTTCTTTTTTTTGGGGTTCTGATACGACAAATAAACATATAAAGTGAAGGTCTGGTGTTTGAAATGGCTTTTAGAATTGTAAATTTTTTAGGTAAGAAATGGCATGACCTGATCATTTGCTAGGTCATGTGCTACACAGCTTTTTTTCCCTCCTGTCTTGTAGCCTAAACAAAGGTAGCCACTGAATAGTGTTGATGATGCCACTCAAGCAAGAATTATCCATAGACATTATTAATTCGTGTAGAATTAGCCCTGATTCAAACTAATCAGATTACTTCTAATTATAAGTGATTTCTTCCTCATTCAGTCTCTAAAAATCTTTCAATATGAAAAGAATTTCAGTATCCTATAAATCTAAAAGAAACTTAATAAAAATTCTCCAAACCCAGGCATAACTAAATACAGAATAAAAATAAAGCTGTCCTACATAGTAGGAACAGTAGTCCTTTTCATGTTTTTCTATTTATTAACATCTTACTTTGTAATTTACTCATCTATATAGCTTTTTAAATGTTTCCCAACATTTTCAACATTAGTTTTCCAGAAGACTTTTCACGTGTCCTGTGCAACAAGAAAAGTACTAACATTCAATAATGAATATCTAAACAGGATATTCCAGGCACCTTACATATGGAAGCATTTTCTCAATAAAATGCCTGTAAGCTTGTTTCATAGTAACCTGCATACAAGTACTAATAAGTAGCAGAAATCCAGGTTTCTCTGACTCAAGCACAAGATCTTTCTACAATATATTTCAAAAACCACCTGACCTTAACCATCTTCACTACCCTGAATCTTCAGGAGGTGTAAAAGATTGTTTTGTATAGTGAAATAGTATATAATTTGTTACATAAAGATGTTAGAGGTAACTGTGGTAGCCACTCCCTCAAATATAATGGACCTATCCAGTATTCACATGCTGTAATTCACAATCACATAGGTGAATTCAAAGATTTAGCCTTTTATTTTACAAACAAACCTAGGTCCAAAGGAGCTGGCGACTCCCCAGTGATTCTACCATATCACTTATAACTGTTAACAAAACATCAAGGGGGAGGGATTACTTTGTGATCCCCATGTATATTCCTTTCCAGCTTCCAGTTATAAATTAGATAAAATATATTAACATAATGTGGTATACCATCGACATTCATCGGGAGGCCCTGTACCAAAAGGACTAGGAACACGGATATTTATTTTCATTGAATAGGGTAAAATGTGACAAAAATGGAGAAGTTAAACAATACTGAATTAAAGAGAAGCTACAATTTGGAGACTCCAAAACGGAAAGAATCATAACAGAGACATATAACAAAAACAATCATAAGAGCTTACTTTTGTTAGCAAAACTGTCTCTCTTCACTGCCCCTAGAACTCACTTTCAAAACATTCTCATTGTAACCTAATAACACACACAAAACTGAGGCTCTCATTTCTCAGAATATTAAAGAGGTCAAAAAGCCCATTACATTTTTCTTCCATATGATGGTTCTAACAGGGCTTAGCTGCCTTTAACTTCATTGGAAACAAGTTTGTTAAGACTGTGCTGTGACAGCTGTCAGTGTGCATTTAAAAAAACATAAAAGTGGTGGATTTTTATGCAGCCATTTTAATACTGAAGATGGAAGACGATATGCAACCTTTTCGTCCTATTATGCTTTATTATTTCAAGAAAAGTAAAAACACAACCGAAATGCAGAAAAAGATTTGTGCAGTGTATGGAGAAGGCGCTGTGACTAATCAAAGGTGTCACAAGTGGTTTGCAAAATTATGGTACTACTGACATGTTGACCAAATAATTCTTTGTTGTGGGGCTGCCCTGTGCATTGATGAATGTTTAGCAGCACTCCAGGCTTCTACCCACTAGAAGCCAATAGAGGGAGTTGCAGACATACTCAAAATATCTAAATCAATAAAGTAGTGGTGAAAATGAGAAATGTGTCTTTTATTTTAAGGAAAAAAACTAAAGACCTTTTGGCTAACCCAATACAAATAGTTAGGTGTTATGTATTACGAATTCAAATATGACAACAATAAAGTAATTCTTTTTAAAAAGAATTCAAATATGTGTGCAAACCCTACATTGAGAAAAGGCACTTGTAATACAAATCTCTAAAGGAGACAGAGAAACACAGACTTGTTCCACTCATTCATGCATTCATTGGTTGATTCTTGTAGGTGCCCTGACCAGATCTAACCCGCAACTGTGGCACTGTGGCGTACCCAGATGCGCTCTAACCGAGATACCCGACATGGGCAACAATGAGGTTTTTTTAAATTAAAGATGAGGAGGAAAATCCAAAACTTTTTGTCTTATTTTGAATGCAGACGTGTTGACCTCACATAATTCATAACCTCACACTAACCTGGCGCTGAAGCTCACGTTAAGGAAACTTGGCTTCTTTAATAAAACAATTCAACGCTTCATCTATGGGATGAAAGAAGACCCCCACGTGGGGTAAAAATGTGGGGACAGTGAGAGGTTCCGTCCATGCCAACCTCAGAGAATTACAGTATTCTTACATTGTGACAGGTTTCTTCAACTCAGGCATCCCCTAATCCAGTCTCTGCAGAGACTAAGCAAATTGCCCGCGTTAGCCATAGGTGCCAAGTACAGAGACCAACCACCACCCACCACAGAAGAGGCGGAGAGACGGGTTAATGCCAGAAGCCAGAAAGATGAAACGTGCGGGTGCTACAGGCAGAGAGAGGGAAAAAGAAAAGCAGCACGAGTGAAGAGCAGTCTGAACTATCACTTCTCACTTAGTGCTACTACGAATCTTCTCGAAAAAGACTAGCTCCTGCCCTACTCACATTCTTTCTTCTCGCTCTAGTGTGGGTCAAACTGCTGCCACCCGCTGCAGAGCCGCGTCACCTTCTCCCGGACTCACCGGCTTCTCGTGCCCCCACTTCTCCGCCGAAAAGACTGGTCCCAGGCCGGGTCTAAGAATCCCTTGGCGGGAGAAAGCGAAGCCCGATTGCCCGGCGAAACTGCAGTTGTGAGAAACAAGCAAAGCCCCGCCGGTGTCCCGGCTTCCGTAGGGGCCTCGGTGGCCCCGGATGTTGATATGCCGCCTGCCCCGGAAGCTGTGCCGGGTGGCCCAAAGGGGCAAGGGCGGTGTTGCTGGGCTCTCCGGAAGGAGACGTGGCGACTGTTGGGCTCCGGGTTGCCTGGACATTTTAGTAGTCCCGCCGCCTCCTCCTCCTCCTCCTCCCCCTCCTCTCCTCTGTAGCAGAGGAGCTTGTGTCGGTGGCTGGAGAAATCGGCGGTGGAGGATGGAGGAAGGAGGCGGCGGCGCGCGGAGTCTGGTCCCGGGAGGACCCGTGTTATTGGTCCTCTGCGGCCTCCTAGAGGCGTCCGGCGGCGGCCGAGCGCTCCCCCAACTCAGCGATGACATCCCTTTCCGAGTCAACTGGCCCGGCACCGAGTTCTCTCTGGTCAGTGCCCTCGCAAACCCCGTAGCCGCCTCTTTTCCTCCCGGCACTAAGGGTTCGGCCCCTTCCCTCGGTATTCTACGCTTCACACCCCCCCCCCCGGCCAGAACCACTTGTGCAGGCGCATGTTTCCTTCCCCACTTCAAAACTTCATTTATCTCGCGTTCATTCATTCATACAGCAAGTGTTTATCTAACACAATACGTGGATGTGTCCTTCATGCTAAGCATTGGGGATCCAACAGTCACCTGCTCCCCCACCCCATTTTTAGATGTCTCACTAGACTTGCTTACCAACACTCCTTCCCTGTGGAAGAAGTTTTCTTAGAACCACGTCAGGCGTGCACTTTTATCTTCTCTTTGGAAAGTCAATTGCGGCTCTCCTACCACCTGCAGCCTTCTCTCCTTCGGTATTACACACTGCCCTGCCCACACACACATACATCGAGTGTGTGTGTAGGCAGGGCAGATGTGAGTTCCCTAGCCCCATCATATTCGTTGTCTCTCTGGCATATGCACACGTACATGTATGCACAGCTCTTTTCCCTTAAAAGTTGTTTTTGAAAGGGCTATTTGGCCTGAAATGTTACTGACACTCTATGCAGAACATCTTTTACAGTTCTGATTTATTACGACTGTTAAGACCACAGAACACGAGATTTTATGCTCAGTTTTCCTACAGTGAAGAACATATTTATAACGTCAGTAACGAAAATCTGCAGTCCTTCACTTTGGGGAGTCGACTGCTGAAAAGTCTTCCTGTCCACTCTAGACCAATAAAAATTGTGGTCTTATATGATACTTACCGTGCAGTGATTAATTCATTTTTTTTCAAATTAAGTCCTGGAGAATGCAAAACTTTAAAATTCTTATTCCAATTACCTATTGTCATTTCATGTGAAACTATTTTAGTATGTTCTATTACCAGTTCATTGAAACATGAGTAAGTGATACCATCGTGTCAGAACAATTTAGATCAGGATAAAGGATGAGTCATCACCACAACTGCTTTTTGTTTGCAAATGTTAGTGTTTGTAATAGTTCACACCTGGTTTGGTTTGTTTCTCCCCCACCCCACCCTCTTGCTTTCAGTTCTCCCATTCTGGTAGTTCAAATTTATCTAAGTAAATATTTCTCTGGGGACCCAGGTTTATCTTTGGGTTAATGCCATGGAATATTGATAGTATATTTAAATACTTATATAACACTTGTAAGTCAGATATAATTTTAGCAGGGTTGGGGTTATTGTTTCCAAAGAGCACACTTGGAATGAACATGTCAAATGTTTAAAGAATGTGATCATTAAATTTTTTAATTCTTGCACCTGTGTTTTTTTTTTTTAATTTAAAAACTCATGCTGATATACAGCCCTGCAAACTTCCCGACCTGTAAGTGGATGCTTAAACTAGCCTTTTTAGAGGTTAGTATCAAATTATTGTTCACTTTTCTTTCTGGCACTGCTGCTTGCCCGCTAAAAGGAGGTTATGGTATACCAGCTTTTCACATATCTGTCAATTTTATTTTGCAATTTGCTTTTAAATACTTTGGCAATGCAACATAATCTAAGGTAGGCTCATTTGAAGACTCAAGAGATTTTTTTTCTTTTAGTTTGAGTTACTTCCGGAAAAATCTAGACACTTTTCTATGAGCTGGCAAAAGGTCTGTGGCCCTCTTGCCAAAAATAAGCCCCTAGAGACATTATCATTGGTCTTTTGATTTTTAAAAAATATTTTTATAGTCTTAAGTCTTCCTTTTCATATTTTATATAATTGAAACTACAGCCCTCCTCACCTGGCACTGTCATTTGTTTTGTTTTGCTTTGTTTTGTTTTATGTGTGTGTTGGTTGACATTTATATAAAACTAAGCAGCTGTATGAACTAGGGAGAGGGACTCTATCTCTCTGCCCTCTAAAATTGGAATGGACTCGGTTAGATCTGAAATATTTTTAGGCTTAAAAAAATTTTGTGCTTTAAATCTTCTTCCCATTCATATATGTATAAAAATACATACTTTTTACAATTTTGATTTCAAATATATTGAGAAACAGTATTAAACACCAAAAAATTGTGGTTTTTAAAATGTTTATATTAATTAAGAATTATATTCTTTACTGGTTTTTAGCATTAAAATTTATTTTTGTGTTTACATTTTCCTTCAGAAATATTTCCAGGTCATTAAAATGTTCAGTTATTCATTACTTCACAGAGGATGGGTTTCACCAAAATAGAACTACAAAATAAAAAAATAAGTCTAATTTTACTTACTTCTATCGTTAATATAGAAATGTATTCCCATTCAAAAACTTTCCCCAAACCCCGTGCTTGGAAAGAGGTGACCAGCTCTGATGTTGCAAGCAGGTTATGCATGCTGACCGGCTGTGCCATTGAGTTGGTTTTACAGCTGCTTCTGGGATACTTTTGTCTCTCATCCTCTAACTATCTTAACTCCTGCAGATTCATGGCAAACATTAGGGATTTCTCCACTGCCAAGATATTTGTAAAGTTTCTTAACCTTAAAGTACCAAGCCCTCTTTGTTTAGTGTCATTATATTAAAATCCAATTTTTATCAAATCACTAATATTACTTCTTACACTTAAAACACTTTAAGGTTTATGTTACATAAAACAAGTTTTTTACACTATCTAATTCTTTTCATTGAGAACTTACTATATTTCATTTTCTTATATACCTTTCACAAAATCAGAAGGAAGCATTTTAGTAGTAGATCAAAAAATTTTTTTAACTTAGAAAATCACAAGAGGTTAAAAAGGTTACTTTTTCCCGGTAATTTCTATTACAAAAAAGTAGGGTAAAATTTATTACAAAATTTATTTTATGATCCCAATAAGTTGCTCACTATTTCAGTGTTTTCAGATTGAAAATTTTTATTTGGTATATTTTATTGATGAGGAAAGCAGCGCTTCCTAAACTAATGAAAACCAAATCTTTGCATCTTCACACAAAAATAGTGGTGACTTCCATGTCTCTTTACCGCTTAAAAAGCAATAGGCAGAGAAGTGAGTTTCTTTATCATATAAACATAAAACATAAGAGTAGTGTTTATTACAAAAAAAAAGAATCATCTTTCTTTCTTTGCTGTGGTTCCAAACAAGCTGTTCTTTTTTTCATTGTTAGCATTCTGGTGAACATGTTGGCAAATAAGTCGAAGTCGATGTTGCTATAGAATTCAACTCTGAACATTAAAGTTGTAGCGACTTCACAAATGGGGATATAAATACATATATGAGTCCTAGTATCTACCTTCACTACAGTACAGCAATGATTTTACAAGCCTTCAGACCATCCATTGATAAGTGAATGTGAGTCATGTTTTGCAGAATTCAGCATCGTGGTTTTTGAATATATCAGAAAACATTAAAAAACATTATAAATGTTACAGCAGTTTATTAGCTCAACTAAATAAATGTTTCTAAAGGTTCCTTGATCATAAATTTTACTTTGAAACTCTCACTTTCAAATCTTTGTGATTCCTCTCTTCACTTACAATAATCTTTTAAAAAAGGAACCTTGGGGTGGTAGTAAAGGATAAAGGGGGCCAAATATATGGTGACAGAAGATGATTTGACTTTGTGGTGAAAACACAATGCAGTATACTGATCATGTATCATAGAAATGGACACTTGAGCCCTGGCTGGTGTAGCTCAGTGATTGAGCACAGTCCTGCAAACCAAAGGGTCACCAGTTCAATTCCCTGTCAGGGCACATGCCTCAGTTGCAGGTCAGGTGCCCAGTAGGGCCACATGAGAGATAACCACACATTGATTTTCTCTCCCTCTCTTTCTCCTTCCCCTCCCTCTCTCTAAAAATAAATAAATAAAATATTCTTTTAAAAAAAGAAATGTACACTTGAAACCTGTATCATCTTACTAACCAATGTCACTCCAATAAACTTAGTTTTTTTAAAAAGGATTATCGGCCATAATCCAGGACTCTGTAATCTAAGAAAATGTTAACAAAAGCTAATTCAAATATATTAAAACAGTTAAGAGCACAGAATATGAAAGCAGTCTACTTGGTTTCATCTCTGGATTGTGCTGCTTCTCTAACTGTGTTACCTTGGACAAATTAAACTCTGGGCTTTAGTTTCCTTTTCTGTAAGATGGGTAGAATACTTGTTTTGAGGATCAGTGAGTTAATAAAATGTAAAAGACTTAAAGTGATACATTGGTTAGTTAATACAGCTCATATTTACTACTATTTTTTTGTTTTGATTTATTGTCTTGGGAAAACATTGCCCTAATTTGCATTTGTGTTTAGGAGGACATAGGTTAAGAGTTGTTTTTTTGAAATTGAGAAAAGAACAAAGGTACTTAATAAGAGTGGTTCTTTCCTTGCTAGGAATAGCCAAATAGTATAGTGGTTTCATAGTACTGTAAGAAGAGAAAAAATAAAATTGAATTATCACAGAATTCATATCATAGTCTGAAATCTCTGCCTTACTAGTTATTGACACATTTGCTATCACAGATACCTTTTTAAATAATGTTATATTAATTGAAATATTCATTTGAATTACATTGATTTATATTTGATTTGTGAAATAATCTGGCTTCGTGGAAAGCTTTAAGGATGATTTCATTGATATATACCAGAATTTGGTACTTTATACCTTTGGTCTGGCCCACCACCTGTTTTCATAAAGAAAATGTTTTTGTAACATAATCATTCCTATTTGCTTGTATATTGCCTATGCACTTGCTTACTACAGTGGCAGAGTTGAATAGTGGTGACAGAGACCATGCAGCCTACAAAGCCTAAAATATTTTACTGTCTGGCCCTTTATAGAAAAGGTTTGCTGGCCCATGATATATACTTTAAAAAAAAAAACCCTCATCACAGATAATTCACAGTGATTTTTCTTTTAGATTTACCCATATGTTATCCAAATATGAAAAATTATATCCCATGCAGTACAGTTGGGAGTTCATTTGTAAAGTGTTGTAGATTCTTACATTTAGGTGGTAATTGTTAGCAGCAGTAAAAGTACTTAGCGATGATGTATTTATGAACATTTCTTGCCTCTTAATGCTTTTTAATCCATATTTTTAACTTCAGTCTGTTGCATTGCTACTACTTTCTTTATACTCCAAACTATATATTTTTTCTGTTATATTGTAACACCAAAATGAAGTTTGTCATCATTTTGTCATTAAAAAATACATACACTCTTTTCCCTTTTCCTTTGAAAATGTGTTTAAAAATCATCCGTTGAAGTGATGAATTAGTTTGACTTAGGACTATAAGTTATGCAATGTAATACAATTTAACCAGAGAAAGTAATGTGTGTTTTTTGTTCTATCTCTAGCCTACAACTGGAGTTTTTTATAAAGAAGATAATTATGTCATCATGACAACCACACATAAAGAAAAATATAAATGCATTCTTCCTCTTGTGACAGGTGGGGATGAGGTATGTTTTTATAAGTATATTGATAATTCCTGTCACCAAAGCCATTTATTTAAAACATTGCAACTACATACTTTAAAATTGAATCACAGGTTTTCAATCGTGCTGTTTTACCATAAAAATAGTAATCACTATTTTCCTGAAGTCCTTGATTTTAGAGTTCAACTTGGAAAAATTAGCCACGAATTATTGATGTTTCAAATGAAAACGTAACTCCACTCTTGCTTTCTTTTATAGAAATGAGAGTTTTGGCCCTGGCTGGTGTGGCTTTTGCCCGCCTGTGAACCAAAGTCACTGGTTCATTTCCCAGTCAGGGCACATGCCTGGGTTTCAGGCCAGATCCCCAGTTGTGGGCATGTGAGAGGCATCTGATCAGTGTATGTCTCACACATGTCAATGTTTCTTTCCCTCTCTTACTCCCTCCCTACCCCTTTCTAAAATTAAATAAATAAAATCTTTTTTTAAAAAAACCTGCAATTCTCAATGAAGAATTACACTGACACTTAAGAAAAAGGAGAGTTTTGACACAAGATATAAATTTTAATGTATATGTGACATTTTAATAAAGAATTGCTAATAAATCTATAGGTACCTTATGCTTTCTCACTGCCTTAGCTCATGCCCATTTCTTCCTCCTAAAATGCCCTAACTAACTGCCTCTTATCCATCCTTTAAGGCAATGACTTCTTTCAAGATGAAACAGGAGAGGCAGCATGGTAAAATGGAAAGGACATCAGCCTAGGAGCCAGGAGGCTGAGGTATAGGCTATAGTTAGCCACGGAACCTTGAAAAGATTTGAAACTATTTCCTCCACTCAATAAATGTATTGAGCTAATTATGTAATGTTTTCATGATCTGTGAGATGGAAATATAAAACTCAGTGAGTGCTTTCTTAGTTTTTGTTCAGATTTGAAATCTGTGAAAAACAGTGGTTTAATTTCATTTTAAACCTACTTAAGACACAAACCACTCACACACAGTCGCACACAACACACATATGAATATATTTGTCTTTCATTTGGCAATCTGAAATGTGAAAATACATAGAAAACTAAGAAGTGCCTTAAAATTTTCCAGTATATGCTATAAGATTCAACTATTCTGAGGCTTTTATAGCTAGAATTTGTTTGGATGCAAGCATTTAAAAATTCTGAAATAGGTTTACAAGAATTGTTAGGAAACTAATCCTCAAACCTTAAGAGAAGAAAGAATGGAAGATTATTCCATGGCTCCATATTTTCCACTTCATTTCTTTTGAAAGAAATGGTATACCATAGATTATTACTAAAGGTTTTGACTTTTTTTTCCCTTTTTATTTCCAAGCATTTGTGATTTGACCAATGAGTTAATAACCGAACAGCACAGTTGGGTGAAGTTCTAGAATAATTCTAAGTATTAAACTCTAGTTCTTTCATAGGAAGAAGAAAAGGATTATAAAGGCCCTAATCCAAGAGAGCTATTGGAGCCACTATTTAAACAAAGCAGTTGTTCCTACAGAGTATGTATTTTATGTTCACTTGATAACTAGAAAATAAATTTCCAGTAGCCAATAGACCCTTGAAAATAATTCTCCATTTCTTTTATGTTGTATCAAATTTTTGGTTGTAAATCTAAGCAATTGCTTAGCAGTATTTCGTTAATTTCAATTCCTGTTATAGTATATGTGGCAAGCACCCAATAATACCAATATCAAGTAATATTCACCAAACTGTTTTTGAATGTTTTTCAAATCAAAAGAAGTTATATACAATTTTAATTCAAAATACTAATTATTATTGTTAAGTTATGTGGAAAATAACCCCTAAGTTAGGTGATTATTCTAGACCTGTTTTCTTCACAGAATTTTCACATATATCTAATTAGTGAAAACAATGAGTAGACCAAAAATTTCATATTTTTCTGAGTAATAAATATGTTTCATTTATTGAAAGCTTACTGTAAATCTTGGGGGCAATCTACTCATCTTCCTAAAGTATCAAAAAATAACTCAGTTGAGTTATACAGCTTTTGTTCATTTAAATACATCCATCTTTCTTAGATTGAGTCTTATTGGACTTACGAAGTATGTCACGGAAAACATATTCGGCAGTACCATGAAGAGAAAGAAAGTGGTCAGGTATCATTTTTCTTCAAAATACAAAGTATGGAACATTATAAAATGAGAGCTCTAATAATGAGATTAACGGTTTTAAATCTGTATTCTTGAAAAATGCATTTGCAAAATCTCAACTATATTTTTGTTTTCTTTTTAAATATAGAAAGTAAATATTCATGAGTACTACCTTGGGAATATGTTGGCAAAGAACCTTCTATCTGAAAAAGGTTTGTTTCTATAATGACTTGATTGTAATGCAGTAAATGCATATACAGTAATTTCATATACAGTAAATGTTCAAAACGGAATTTGAAAAATTTTGTTGTGGACTCTTAATTTTAAAGCACTAAGATTGATTTCTGAACATTTCTTAGAAAACTTTTTTAAAAAGATATTTTCATTATTTTCTGCTTTAACAAACATGCTTTTTTTTTTTTACCTATTAATACTTTTTTAAAAATCTGATAAGATATACATGTTAGTGTTGTATTTATATAATGCTTGGTCTTGGTTGGTTTAAACAAAGTTTTATATATTGAAACAGACATATTGATGTATCCCTCAAATTATGAAATTTTTTACAAATCTCTATTCAAATTGATTAACTAATTTAGGATTAAACTTTCTCTGAGATAAAAGTACTTCAAAATATACTGCTGTGGCAGCCAGGTTTTATGTGTCAAATAGAGTATTTCCTAGGTAAAGATTAAATAATGATGGTTCTTTGACACAAAACCATTTCAAGGAAAACTTGCTAAGACTAGTAAGATAAAAAGTACATGCATTTTTGGAGTCTACTTTGGAAAAAAGTTTAAGATGACAGAATTGATTGAAAACTTAGTCACTTGTTTCTTATATGTAAAATCACTGGTCAGTCTTTACATTTACTTTCTTTCATATTATTTCATAGAACAAGAAGCAGAAGAAAAGGAAAAATCAAAAGAGGCAAGTGACAAATGGTTTTTGTATTAACATCTGGGAGGCATGAATTTATACAACTTAATTGACAGAACATAGTCTTGTGTTCTTTAACTATATCAGATATCTCAAAAGACTGGAGAAGAGAAATTTGCAATATGCTAGGTTTTTCTGAGAAAAGTTACACTATGATTTTAAGTAACTTTTATGTCATACAAAACTAAGCAACCTTACCAAAAGCATGAGTGGAAAAGTTTCTGTAACAGCATCATATCACCTCTGTGCTTAGCAATGCTTCCCTCTCTTTAACCATGGAAACAATGATAATAACAGCATTTTTGTTTGGTCCCTATCTCGTGTGGGTAAAACAGAGAAAACTATATATGTAAACAACAAACTACCAGACTTCAAGAATCTTACAAACAGGGACTGTCTTTTATCTTTTTACCCCCTGTAGTACAAAGCAGAGTATCAGACATAACAGACAGCTCATAAATGTTTATTGAATATGAATGCATACTTTAATGCTAAGATTATTTAAAAAGAATGATTCCTTAGGATGTTTAATCACAATTTTGAAATGTCCCTATAATTCAAGGAATGCTTGAATCGTAAGAATTTCCAGAGTAACTTATTGATAGAGGATATTTCTCTAAACAGCTTCATATCAGAATGGTACTCTTATCAGAAGTAAAGTGAAATGGCAGCAGGCTTTTAAAAATTACTTAAAAGGGATGCCTATAACTTAAAGGGATGGCTTTAGGGGGCACTGACAAAACTGATTATAGACACACATAGCATGGCTATTTTAAAAGATTTTAATTTTACAAACTACCTAAAATATTTATTTACTGTGACTCTAGAGGATAGCAAGATAGAATTCAAAGTGTGAAATGATAAAGGGAGAGAAAGAAAAAGGTAAGGGAAGAAAACTAACATTTATTGAGCCCCATTTCATAAGCCAGGTGCTGTGCCAGGCATGTAATAAAAGGTAATGCTTAATTCTCCCCACAACCTTTGAGCATACTGATTGGGGAAAAGTAGGTTTACAGTTGTGCGTGCCCATAACACAGAGTTTATTCTTGTATTATTATTTATTCATTATTGTCTTATTTTCCATATGAACAACTGTAAACCTGCTTTTTCCCCACCCTGTATATTATTACTCTATTTTTACAAATGACAAAAACTGGAATTTAGTCAAAGTTATTAAGCTAGTAAATTCAGAGCTTCAGTTTGAACCCAGGACTTTCTAATTCCAGACACTAGCATGAAAATAGCATATAAGAAATCTCAAAATATTTATCCCTGTAAATATTTATTTGTTGCCTATTTGGATATGCACTGACAGGGTACAAGATGAGCTCTTTGCCTCCAAAGGGCTTGTTGGGAGGTATTATTAATGAGATTTTTTGAAGCCCTTAATTGGGTTTTTCTTGTGTTTACATATAGTATGGGACATAACTTTCTAATAATCTTTGTCTTCTGAGGTCATCTCTTTTGTTCCCCCAGCCCATGAAAATTTCTCCATTTGTCTTTTGCTGGCTTTAATAGATTCATGTGAGTTTATATGCTGAAGAATATGTCTATTAATATTAAAAACAGGGAAATAGAATAAGCAGATTAATGAACCAGTACAGTAGACTCCCATTTTAGAAGACAGTGTTTTATTATTTAACTCTACATTTTGACAAATCAGACTGTACAACTGTAGAATCTAAACTCTAACACAGCCATGTGCTGATTGTTTAGTGAAGAAAGCTCTGACCAACTCAACATAGTAAGTTTCTATGTTTTGTGTTAGTCTCTTTCTTTAGAGCTATTAAAAATAAGTCATATTAATCATCATATTATAGCCTTTTATATAATTGTACTCTTACTTAACCACCTTAATTTTACTACCAAATAAAAATATCTTTTTAAAAAACATTTTATTTATTTATTTTTAGAGAGAGGGGACGGGAAGGAGAAAGAGAGGGAGAGAAACATCAATGTGTGGTTGCCTCTCATGTGTCCCCTACTGGGGACCTGGCCCACATGTGCCTGGACTGGGAATCGAACCAGCAACACTTTGCTTCACAGGCCCGTGCTCAATCCACTGAGCTACACCAGCCAGAGCTAAAAATATCTTTTTTTTTTTTTTGCTATATTAAACAGGCTCTGAAACTACACATTTTCTCAAATAAGAACTCATGAATCAAAAGAATATTAGAGGGAGAACTTACAAAAATACATAAATGTTAGTTTATAAATATAGTTGTCTTCCTTTCAAAATAAGTGCTTCTCCCATCCTCAGTCCTACCACCATTTCTAATGAAAAGTCTGTCTTATACTCTTTTTTTTTAAGATTCCCACTAAAAATATCGAAGGTCAGATGACACCCTACTATCCAGTGGGAATGGGAAATGGTACACCTTGTAGTTTGAAACGGAACCGGCCCAGATCAAGTACTGTGATGTACATATGTCATCCTGAATCGAAGCATGAAATTCTCTCAGTAGCTGAAGTTACAACTTGTGAATATGAAGTTATCATTTTGACACCACTCTTGTGCAATCATCCTAAATATAGGTAGGATGTGAATTTCATATTTAAACATGAAATGTGCATGCTTTAAAGTTGCCACATGTATAACTTTAGTGCTTTGTTCTTACTGAACAGATTCAGAGCATCTCCTGTGAATGATATATTTTGCCAATCACTGCCAGGATCACCATTTAAACCCCTCACCCTGAGACAATTGGAACAGCAGGAAGAAATTCTAAGGGTGCCTTTTAGGAGAAGTAAAGAGGTAGGAGAATCATCTAACAGTATTTTCTCAGTGCTTCCTTTTCCAGTTTATAGAGTATATATCAATATTTCAGTGATTTCTTTAGTATAGTAGTAATTTGCTTTCCTGACTCAGAGTTCTAAATTCTAGTTCTTTTTATTGGTTTTAAGTCTTTTTCTTAATCTAGTACTTCTCAGAAACTATTTTAACACTCTGACACTTCTGATTTTATAATATTTTAAAGTTTGACATCCTATTTATTCTAGATAACCTTAAATTTTAAGTAGTTGACTGGACTTCTGAGCTAAGCAAACCTCTTGAAATAATAGACTACGACCCATCTCAGCATTCTTTTCATTATAATTCACTGGGTATATACATAACTTCATCTTAGTAGCATAAAACACCGAATATTTGAAGCTTGAACTTTTTCTCCTCCCTTTACTTCAGGTCACTCTCTCTACATGTCTATAGTTCTTCTCTCCTCTGTAACTGGTTTTTCTCTACTTCCTGCCCTTAAAATGTTGACATTCCCCACAGTTCCATCCATAGTCCCTTAAGTGAGCTCGTTCATGCCCACTCTTTCAACTTCCATTTGTATGCCCACGAGTTCTGAATATACATCTATCTACATTTACCTTTTACCTGAACTCAAACCACAGTCACAGTAATTAACGTGTATTGAGTCTTAACAGCAATTTCTGCCTGCTCACAACATCCTAGAAGATATACTATTATTATCCTCCTTAACAGACTAAGACTTGAGGTTTGGGAGGGGGAGTGATCAGAGGGGTTACAGATTAGAATCAAAACACTCTGATTCGGAGCCTGTCTTAACCGCTTCTCTCTGTGCCGCTGCTTCCTTTTGATGGGCTGTCCTCCCTTTCCGTCATCTGCCAAAAGATACATTTTCAAAATCTCAAGCTCATTCTCTGTTTCTCTTTTCTTGTCTTCCCTGTTGCTTTTAAAGCACTATGCTCAACCCAATTGCTAAGTCAGAAGCCAAAGTAATCTTTCTTACCTATCTGTTCATTCATCATCGCTAACTCTAATCACTTACTAAGAGCTATTGATGTTATCTTCTAAAGGCTCTCCGAATCTACCCTGTCATTAATTCAGGACTTCATCATCTCCTAAGACCAATAATAAGCCTCCTCACACATCCCCTTTCTAATACTTTCCACACAGCTGATGAAATGCTCTTTCTGTAATGAACCTTTGTTTACATATTTAAGCCTTTGAAAGTTAACATAAACTGTACCTCAGGATAAAGTCATTGCTTGTACGATGACTTTATCAAGGGGGAGTGCAAGCACTTTTGTGATTGGGCTTCAGCCTCATTTCCCATCACCATTCCCTTTATCTTAGCTATTTGAACAATTTAGAATTTTCTAAAAATACCACATTTTTTCTAACCTCCTTGCCTTTCTATATACTGTTTCCATTCTTCTGTTGCCTTCTGCCCTCCATCCCCTACACCTGATAAACTTCTACTTCTTCAGCTTGAAGACATGCTTCCAGTGTCACTTCTTTGCAAATGAGGCAGGACTTCTAATGTGTTATTTCAGGGAGAGGTAGATGTTTCCTTTCCATGGTCTTGTCTTTTATTTCATCCTCCATTGTAGCCTTCCATAGCTAAAATTGCTAATTTTCCATATAGTTCTTAGGTTGAAATAGATAAAGAGTAAACTATGCTCTCATTACTTTGGGTTTTCCAGCTCCTTGCATGATACCTGGTGTGCCGTGAGTACTCCGCAGCCTTTGAAATAACTAACATTTAGCTGCAAGGCCTGTTTCTCCCTTCCCTCTTGAGTCCTTGTTACAGAAGTATTGTCAGACTCTGTGGATGTTGTGAACGCTGCCATTCTGATAAGAGGGAAAATTACCTTAACATTAATCTACATGTGACTTGAAGTGCTATATTAAAAGATTGGAAATGGAATTTTTTCTAGTCTTCTTGGTAGTGATTTAAATACTGATAGGAACTTCATATTTATCAAAATGCTTCACAAATGCCAACTGTAATAACTTTTTAAAAGATTTATTTATTTATTGTTAGAACGAGGGAGGGAGGGAGAAAGAGAGGGAGAGAAACATCAGTGTGTTTTTAACTCTCACACACTCCCCCACTGTGGACCTGGCCCGCAACCCAGGCGTGTGCCCTGACTGGGAATCGAACTGGCGACCTCCTGGTTCACAGCCCACTCAGTCCCTTGAGCCACACCAGCCAGGACGTAACTATAATTACTCTTCAATGAAAAAGTGCCAATTTACTTTTCTTTAATGTGTTTGATCTTCCAATTGAGAAAAACTATTTTTAAAAAGCTATAGATAATGCTTTCAAAGCACTTAGGATCTTTAGAGTCCATGTTGTATATGAAGATCTTAGGTAATACTATAGGATAAGTAGTCACTTAAAATCGGTCATGTTTACTTCAGAACCATTTTTTAAATAAATCTAGTGTGTTACATATAACTTTTCTTTTAAAGGTTGTTATTTGGCTTGTGATTTGCCTTTTAAGTGTGGATCAAGCTTTATTATAAAGATTAAATAATTTTTATCTTTTTTATGCAAAAATACAAATCTGGCTAACAGAATTCTGGTTTAATGTTCTGCCTCTGTTATTAGATTACTTTAATTGGGAGATTACTGGAACTTTTAAGAGCCCCTTTAATGAATTTTTAAACCTTAGTACAAAAACTACTAATCAGCCCTGGTTGGTGTGGCTCAGTGAACTGAGTGCCAGCCTGTAAACTAAAAAGTCACAGGTTCAATTCCCAGTCAGGGCACATGCCTGGGTTGCAAGCCAGGTTCCCAGTTGGGGGCATGTGTGAGAGGCAACCTGATGTTGCTCTTTCTCTCTGCCTTCCCCTCTCTCTAAGTCAATAAAATCTTTTTAAAAAAATACTACTATAATCTTGTTTTTATTGGAATAATTTTTCTCAAAAACAATAAATATTGCCCTGGCACCAGTGTGGTTCAGTGGGTAAACTGAAAGGTTGGGAGTTCAATTCCACGTCAGGATACATGTCTGGATTGCAGGTTCTGTCCCTAGTTGGGGCACATGCAAGAGGCAACTGATCAGTATTTCTCTTTCACATCGATGTTTCTCTCCCTCTCTCCTTCCTCTCCCCTCTCTCTAAAATCGGTAAGTGCATCCTCAGATAAGAGTAAAAAAATAATAGATGTTCTCTCCACAAAGAAGCAATAATATAGATAGTCATACTTTTATTCTTCCTACTTCCTGTCCTTTTATCTCAGTTTCAGGTTTCACCATAGTGTTTTTCTTCACTAACTGCTATGGGTCCCATGTATTCTAAGTAATTAGTTCAGACTATTAGACTTCAGCTTCTTAGGAGCAGTTGCTCTGTTTCACTTTTAGTACTCAGCACTTAAAACAGTGTCAGAGCATAGCAGTCTCTGAATATACAAACAGTTATACATAAAATTCAAGGTCCTTTTAAAAAATAAACAATCTTGGCAATCTTTGTTCTTAATGTTGGAGGAGAGAGAGAAAGACGATTAGTTTCCAGGGACTCTTCAGTGACTTCTCCAAGCTGAAGTAGGACAGAACCACAGTTGGTCAATGGCACCTACAGCTGGTGAAAAAGGAGAGATCATGTCCGCTGAACTTTTTCTGGAAACCTTTTACCATTTGTTTTTTTTTTTTTAATTTTATTCAGTTATAATTGGTACCCTCACTTCTTCAGTTTTCGTCTAGATTCATTTTCTCTTCACTCACTGTCAGTACCCAGCTAACTACCAAATGTTAACTTATTACCCTCTTTCGGAACTGTCCTCTTCTCGCCACCCCTCTTGCGTCATCCCCTCCCTTTTACTTCTCGTCATCTCCGGCCTGCGTTACTGCAGCTCCTTAGTTGGTGCCCCACCTCCTGACTTGGTCTTGCTCTTACTTCTCTGCCTCTGCTCCAGTGATTGCTTAAAAACCTGACCACTCCACATCTTTGCCTGAAGCCTGTAAGATAATGTCCAAACTTCTTATGATTATATAGTTTTTCACGACATAGTACCTGCTTATCTCTTTACCTGTAAATAATCATACCTTTCTCACATCTTTGTTCTTACCTCTTCCAAAGGTTCACATGCTTATTATGCACACACACAAAAAACACATACACAGACATTCACATAAATCACAAATTGTTATTTCTATCTTATGAGTTAAACGAGGGTTTTCTCTTTGTGAAGTCTTTATGTTTCAATTCATTGTGTTTCAGTTCATTGTCAGAGTCTATTTGAATCACTGCTACCTTTATGAATCTGCGGGTTTCTGCATGCTTTTTAGTTAGTATGTTCCTTTACTAAATCTCAGGTTCCTCCAAGCTCTGCTACATTTGAATAATTATAGCTAATATTCATATTTGCTCTCAGTTTCTCTTTTCCTTGCTTATTATCCTTTCTTTACCCACAGTAACCACATTTTTAATGCTAAATGCAGAGACACAAAATGTAACAAATAGCAAAGTACTTAAAAGTAATGAGACAAAATATGTGACATGGAAATTATCTCTGCAATGGAAGGGGTTCCCATACAAGTGGGACTGCATTTTTCTAGAGCTTTCTCTATACTACTAAGCATTGCAAAATTCATTTTTAAAAATATATATTATGGGTAAATTTTATTTTCCAAGTTTCTACATTGTAAAAATAATAACTTAAGTCATAACTGAAAAAAACAAGTGTGGCAAAGAAGGCCTTAAACATATGTATTTAATTTTAGGAAGATCTGCAGTCAACTAAAGAAGAGAGATTCCCAGCAATCCACAAACCCATTGCAGTTGGTTCTCAGCTGATGCTCACTGTTGGAACAACCCACATATCCAAATTGACAGATGACCAACTCATAAAAGAGTTTCTTAGTGGCTCTTACTGCTTTCATGGGGTGAGAAGTGAACCTTCCATTTAAATATTTAGTTTACAGTGTTCCTTTGTGTGTTGTTAATCAAGGGGCATTAACAGCATTGAAAAAGGTTTTGGTCTGTAGAGAAATGACAAGTATCTGGAAGCTTCCCAGTGGACGTTTTCTCTCTGCTTCTTACCGTGCTCTAATCCATAGCCATTATTATAATCTTTACTCACAAATTAAAATTTGACCTGTATTTGACAGATAATGTGTATAACTAAGACACTTGTAGTTCTGGTTGATTGCTAGAATGGGCATCAGTGATTGTATAGCAATCACATTTAAAACTCAAGTTAACATTTACACAGGTAAATGTTGCCTCTGACTAATAGCTCCAGTGAGAAATACACTTACTTACAAATGGAATTTTTACTTTATCACAGATATACAGAAGTTGTTCTCTGTATTAATCTGTTTCATGTCAGTAATTTTTTTAATTTTTAATCATATTAACTGCTGTTACTGGTTTTTTAAATTATATGTATTTCTGTTGCTACTGTACGGCAATATTGAGACAGGCCCCAGTCCTGCCTTCTCTGCATATAACTTAATCTGTTGTCTTTCTTGTAGGGTGTTGGCTGGTGGAAATACGAATTCTGCTATGGCAAACACGTACATCAATACCATGAGGTATAGAACAGCATGTATACCAATCTACCAATAGATGGATTAAAGTTTTAAAAATCTTTTGTAGAAAAAAAATGGGGGAGAGCGTTATTTAAATTATGACATGATTTTCATATGGAAATATTCACTGAACTATTTAAATTCAGGAAAATGTAAAACTTGGTGTTTAATTCAGTCAGTCATCTTAAAGTAACATTGTGTATTAGCTACTCAGATTCTTATATTACTATGAGCCTGAAAGAAAAATCTAGTATGGCTAACTCTTAAGCTCTGACAGAAAAATTAGTCATTGTTATAATTCACCTTTGTCTTTTTTCCTTTCAGTCCAACTTTCCTTTTTGGGCGTCCCTGCTATCTGTTCTCTCTTCACCAGCTGCTAGCATCCAAAATCATACTAATTTATTCTCTGGCTCATAACCATTGCACTCAAAACCTTAAACTAAGTACCAGACCTGCCTTTCAACATTCAAAAATTAATTAAGGTGATCTGCCAAATTAACATCTCACTCTTCTGGTCACCATCTTTTAACACCACTGGGAGAACCCCTAAACTGAGAGTTTGTCTAGCTGGGGTTCCTCCAACACCAATTCTGTAAATAAAGAGGAAATCAGTGTTCTCTTGTAATTTTTTTGTGTAACATTTTATTCCCATCTCCTCATTACCTCCTTTTTGCCTTTTTGTCTATATCTGTGGGTCAGTTTCTGTTTTGTTTTATTCCTTTTGTTGTTTTAGATTGCACATATCAGTGAAATCATATAGTATTTCTCTGTCTGACTTATTTCACTTAACATCACACCCTCTACCCTCCAAGTCAGCAGTTTCCAACCGGTATGTCACAAGAGGCACACTGGAGAGCTGCAAGAGTTTTTAAAGCTTGCAACACCTGACTATTTAATCAGGGGCACGGACCTCTTTTCCCTTAGGTTGTCAAATTAGAAAATGGCAACAGCCAAACCAACAATAACCATCAGGTGTGAATGAATTAAAATTATACCTGTTTTTTGTCTGATTGGCAAAAAATATAATGTGTTTTTTTGGTATGCCACACAATTTTAGTAGTTAGTTTGAGTATACCGTGAGATGAAAAATTTTGAAAACTGCTCCTCTAGGTTCATCCACATTGTCACAGATAGCAAAATTTCATTTTTTTGTTACTGAAAAGTTATGTTATTCAGCTATAATTCATCTTTAAATTAAGAAAGCGAATGGTAAGATAGTACATTACCACTAGAGTTTGTAAAACAGGGTACATACAACAAGTTTCTCAGCCAAAAGAAGGTACCATATTATACCAAGTTTAAAATAAAATAAGTTTTAAGATTACATACATTGGTTTTTTTATTCTCCCTTTTATTTATAATTTCATAAATTAGCATATTCTCCCACACTTCAGCCGAGCTGCTTAAATTCTGAAGTTTAAGCACCAATAATTTTGTCATAGTTATACTTTCATAAGTTAAACTACTACATGTTGAAGACAAACACTAATAAATATTGACCTGGCTGTTTTTAAAAGGCTTTGGCTTCTTGAGATGTTTTAAGCCAATTTTAAACTCCAAGAGGATCATACCAGGAAAAATAATAAACTCAACTTGAACATTTAAATCATTCCAAATTTATGAAGCATTGGTAAACTAGGACATTTTTTTCTTCACTTAAACCTGAGAAGTTTAATTTCACTATTCTTTCCATTTATTTTTGCTGCTTTGTAGATGTTTTATTTTTACTAACATTTATTCATACAGAAAAATGAAAAAGTACACATATCATCTAACTATAGTTCAGATAATACTCAAAAGCTTTTTTTAATTAAAGGAATATATGCCAGAAATTTAGAATGAAAAGTAAAATTCTTTACCATTGTTCTATTTCCCAAAAATGACTTAACTTTTTCTTAGTTAACCCTCCACAAGAAAAAAAAATGCATGTATGTAAGTGTTGGTGTAACCTTTTGATTTATGCAAAAAATGTCTACTAAGTACTCTTCACTACTCTTCAATTAATATTTTAATTTAGTATCTTGGAGATCTTTGCTTGTCAGCAATAGCTGATCTTTTCAGCAGCTACAGAGGGTTATATCTGTACCCACGATGTGTTTAGCCAGATCTCTACTGATAGACCTCTAAGTTGTTCCCAGTTTTGCTGTGATGCCATCTTAGCAGTTTTAAATAGTTGTATTGGTGAGCATTTGCATGTATATTCATTGGGCACATGTCTAGCAATGTATTTGCTAGGGCAAAGTACATGCATACTGAACAGTTGTCTTCCAATGGGTTGGACCACTTTACATTCCCATTAACAATGTCTGTTTTCCCATACACTTGCCTACACTAGGTTTTTATCTGCCTTATTTTGGTCAAGGTCATATAACCTAGAACTTTTGGAGGAACTCTGCTGGAGCATTGGGAAATATAAAAATAATAGCAGCTGCCCTGGCTGGTGTAGCTCAGTGGATTGAGCATGGGCCTGTGAACTAAAGGATCACAGTTCAATTCCCAGTCAGGGCACATGCCTGAGTCACGGGCCAGTTCCCAGCAGGGGACGCACGAGAGGCGACCATGCATTAATATTTCTCTCCCTCTCTCTCCTTCCCTTCCTCTCTAAAAATAAATAAATGAAAAATCTTTAAAAATAATAGCAGCTAACAAATACAGTGCTCACTATATACTGTATACCAGGCACTGTTCTAAGCACTTCACATATATTAACTCATTTAATGCTCATAACAACTGTAAAAGGTAAATACTGTTATTCCAGGATGAGGAAACAAAAGCAAAGATTTAGTAACTTGCCTAAAATCATATAGGAAGTAAATGGTAAGAGTAGAATTCAGACCCAGGCAGTCTTGCTCCATCTCCAACCTCTTAATCCATGTCTCTCTCTGAATGTACAGCCCACTTGCTAAAAGGATGTCTGATGGCTCCCTCTCCCATCAGGCAGCGAGCTCCACTAGGGCAGGAGCCATGCCTGTTTCGTTTGCCACTGTAAGGGTTTTTAATTTTAATCAGATGTATATTAGTGCCCAGCATAAAGTAGAAAGAAGGAAAGGAAGGAAGACAGGAAGGGACGGGACTAGAGGAAGGAAAAGGAAGGAGAGGGAATGAAGTCCACATATAAGACAACACATAGTGTTTTAAAAATAATAAAAGCAGAATGGGACGGGGGGTTTCTGATCAGTCTTGGTGCAGAAATGAGTGTGGTGTCAAAGGAGGAGTGTGAAGAGTAGTAGAGTTTGAAGGTCTGCGTTTGAAAGAGTAGAAGTAAGATGAAGGTAGGCTACGCGTGGCCGCAGTGCGGCTCAGGGTGATAGAAGCCAAAAATTTCACTAAGAATCACAGTGGTACATGGTTGTATCATCTAGGTATAAGAGAGCAAACTCTTGGTTGGCAGGCAGGAAATGTTGACAGTGGGAATGGAAAGGAAGAGTCTGAATCTGAGAGCATCTGTAGGAAAAAAAATGACAGGACTGATAGATGTGGGAAAGGAAAGAAATAGAAGAGTTAAAAAGAACTGTGTCTGAAGCTAGTCTGACTAGAACGTAGTTTCATTTTCTAGAGAAACAAGAAATAGCCCTGGCTGGTGTGGCTCATTGGATTGAGCGTGGGCTGTGAACCAAAAGGTCACTAGTTCAATTCCCAGTCGGGGCACATGCCCAGGTTGCAGGCCAGGTCCCCAGTGGGAGTCACGTGAGAGGCAACTGCACATTGATGTTTCTCTCCCTCTCTTTCTCCTTCCCCTCTCTCTATAAATAAATAAATAAATAAATAAATAAATAAATAAATAAATAAATAAATCTTTTTTAAAAAGAAACAAGGAATAAAGACAACAAGCTCAAATTTCTACTGGTCAAGATTGATAAAACATTATTACCTCTAAACATAGATATCCGGTGTGAATATGAGGATAGGGACTGTAGCTTGTAGGCCACTCGCATTAATGTCTACTTGATGCTGTCAAGCGTGCATATCTTATCACAAATATTTTTTCATTTATTAGGACAAGGATAGTGGGAAAACTTCTGTGGTTGTCGGAACGTGGAACCAAGAGGAGCATATTGAATGGGCTAAAAAGAATACTGCTAGAGCCTATCACCTGCAGGACGATGGTACCCAGTCAGTCAGGTAAATTAACTTTATTTGCCTTTGGATCTATCAATAGAATATTTGAAACTCGGAATATTGAAAAACAAAATTTAAACACATACAATCTCTGATCAGTTTTTTTCAGGGACATTAGGGTAGTTTTCTTTTTGTGGGGAAATAACTTAGTGTAGTAGTTAAAGCAGCTCACTGAAGTCCACCACTCTGGATTCAAATTCTGTCTCTTTCCCCAGCCAGGCATCTCAGTTGGTTAGAATACCGTCCTGTCACGCCAAGATTGTGGGTTCAGTTCCCAGGCAGGACACATACATACAGTAATGATAGTAATGAGTCCATATACTATCTTGGTCAAGCCTCACTTTTCTTCTCTAGTAGTATTTGTCTCATACTGTTATTGTGACATTTAAATAAGGTAATTCAGGTAAAGCACAGTGCCTAGCGATAGCATGCAGTAAACTGTGGCTGCTTCCTTTCACAGTGGGTGGTGTCACGGCAGTAAGAATGGCCGTGATGTTAGTTAACAATGGCTCTGTTCCCAGGCCTTAGGTCTGAGGCTGTTATGGAGCATTTGCCTCTTTCATATACAATCTTTACCCCTTCAAGTTATTTGGTTCTATTTAAATATATTCTAGCGTTTCCCTTTGTTACTTAATTTTTCTGAGGTAATGGTTGAAAATTAGTTGGACAGTGGCTTTTAAAAAAATTGTCTCATCCCTTTTGGTCTCTATAGGTATATCTTGCTATAGCTAAAGTAAATTAATTAATCTCTTGTTTCCCAACAGTAACTAAGCTTTAGCTTTTCTAGTTGTCTTTTGCCCAGTGAATTTTTAACTATACATCTTTCTTCCCCTTCCTGGGTGTTCACTTTATTCTTCCTAGTACAGATGAAATGAGAGACTGTTTTTAGAAGGTGCTGACTTCTTGGGCTAACCAAAATCAAAGTTAGCAATATTAAGAGGTTGGCACTTAAGTATTAGATAAATTAGAATATACTAAACAGAAGGATTTTTCTTACGTTTGTATGTTTTTCATGTGAAAATAGCTTGTGGAGAGATGGTTCATTTTAAAAGAACAATGTTTTTAAAACCAATTTAATTTTAACTATTCCTATGCAGATAAATATGCAAAATGAAGATCATTATTATTAAACCATTATGAAGTATCTCAATTCTATATTCTCTTTATAGAATCTGAAAGACTCTGATGTAGCCATAAAATATGTATTTTTAAAGAATGTTTTATAGGCAGATTTTTTAACTAATGCAAAACTGACCCTCTAACCATCTTATCTCCTTACCCATCACAATGACTCTAAATTGCTGGAAATTTTAGTTAGTAAGGTGTCTGTGTTTTTCTGATTCAGGATGGTGTCACATTTTTATGGGAATGGAGATATTTGTGATATAACTGACAAACCAAGACAGGTGACTGTAAAACTAAAGTAAGTTGGACTGTCAAATTGTGCTTTCTGCTGTTCTCTTTAAACTGCTTCCTTTAAGCAAAAGTTTTTATAAATATACAGTATAATTATGAATAGTTGTATTCATAATAATTTATTATAAGATTATTTTATTCTAAGTCTGTTAAAATTAATTTCAGTAATATAATTATTTATTCACAAGTTGTTTATAATAATTATTAAATTATAAATGATAATAAACTACATTCAATTCTTTATTAAATTACACGGGGTCACTTTGTGGGATTTTTAGCACTTAAGAGGAAGACAGTTTAAAATAATTTTGTATGGTCCTGGCTGGTGTGGCTCAGTGGATTGAGTGCCAGCCTGCAAAGCAGGGGGTCGCTGGTTCAATTCCCAGTCAGGGCACATGCCTGGGTTGCAGGCCAGGTCCCCAGTGGGGGGAGCGGGGCATGGGAGAGGCAGCTATACACTGATGTTTCTCTCCCTCTCTTTCTCCCTCCCTTCCCCTTTATAAAAAATAAAATTGTTTAAAAAATTTTAAAACATAATAATAATTTTGTATGTTTGGGGCAGCACCTCAAAGTACTCTATGTTTTAGGTGCAAAGAATCAGATTCTCCTCATGCTGTTACTGTATATATGCTAGAGCCTCACTCCTGTCAGTATATCCTTGGGGTAAGTAAAAAAATAATACTTAAGGATTCAGCTTGGGACCACATTTTAGTTTTTAGCATTGAATCTGGAAAGACCTTATTAGTCCTTAAAATGTAGTACTACTTCTATAAAAGCTGTTACCATTTGATTGGGGTATAATATGCATAAAATTAAATACAAAGATTTTAAATGTTGAGTTAGATGAATTTTGACAATTTCATATACCCATGTAACTCTCACCCCAAACAAAGTATCTGTCACTGCGGAAAATTTTCTTGTAACCCCTTCCCTGTCTATACTACTGAATCCCCAAAGATACCCCTTTCTGATTTTTGATACCATAGAGCAGTTTTTGCCTTTTATTTTGTATGAATGGAATTATATAGCACAGAAATTTTTTCATGCCTGGCCTCTAACTCAGCCCGTCTTTCAGACTCAGTCATATTGTATGTATCAGTGCTTTGTTGTCTTTATAATTGAATAATATTCTTTTGTGTAAGTATGCCACATTCACTTATCCATTCTCCTGTAGATGAATATTTGGGATCTTTCTCATTTTTGATTATATGAATAAGGATGCTATGAACATTTTTCTACAAGTCTTTTTGTGGTCGTATGTTTTCATCTCCTTTGTTAACTACCTGGGAGTGGAATTGCTGAATCACAGATTAGATACATGTTTAACTTTTACCAAACACTTCTCCAAGTAGTCGTGCTGTTTCACATTTCTGTCAGCAATGCATGAGAGTTCAGTTGCTCCACATTCTCACTGTCAACATTTGGTATTGTCAGTCTTTTGATTTTAGCCATTTGAGTAGTTTTAATTTGCATTTTTTATATGAAAAATGGTATTGAGCACCTTTTCATGTGATTATTTTATATATCCTCTTTTGCAAAGTGTCCAACCAAGTCTTTTTTTCCTAGTGTCAGTTCCCTTTATTAAATGTTAGGTTTTTTTTCAGACCAGAAATACAAAATAAAAATAGAAATAGGCCCCAGTTAGCAGCTACAGTCCTGACCTCACCTGACCCCTGCTGCAGCAACTTGAATAGGACAAGAAACAGCTATATCCCCTAAGGTCAAGAAAGGAGGGTAAGGATTTGGCTAACCAAGACTTTTTAAAGAAAAAAAATTATACTGACACAGACTAAAACAGTAGGAAGACTCATTTGGGACTTTGTAGCAGGTGTCTAGACTGTCACAATAAGTGAAAGAGATCCAGTTCAATTCTAGATACAGTAAAGGCAGCTGGGTGAGTATAGCCAAGAAGCAGAAACAGGGAGGAACAGGCTGGCCAGTGAATGGAAAATGACTAAGAGAAGATGTTAAGAGGAGGAGATTCTTGCTAAACTGACTTGACAGGATCATTGCTGAAGGCCAGCCAGGACAATCCAATATCTAAGGCAAGAGATGAGGAATTTGTTCACTACGGAACGTGCTTAGACTTTAAGGGTGAGGGTTCCTCTCTAAACTGACATATCAGGATTTTTTGCTACAGCTGCACTCAGCAGGCCCAAGGACAAAAAGAGGCCTGGTTGGAAAGAGGGCTCGGGAGCCTGCTTGATGATGGTTTTTTGGTCAAGAAGGGAGTCTTTGTCAGTCTTTTACCCATTTTTATTTTTGTTGTTTGTCTTATTATTTATTTCTAGAAATTCACGTATGTTCTGGACATGAATTCTTTATATTTATATTGCACATTTTCCCCCCAGCCTGTGGCTTCCCTATTCATTTTTTAATGTATTTTCATGAGTAAAAGTTTTTTGGATAAAGTTTCTTTCCTCAATTTTTTCCCTTTTATTGCTAATGCTTTTTTCCTAAGGAATTTTGCCACCCCAAAGTCACAAACATACTTTCCTATGTTTTCCTCTGGGAACTGTATAGTTCTACCTTTGATTATGTGATGCTTAAGAGTGGTTTTCTTTATGCTTGTTTTGGTTAGAATTCACAGGGCTTCTTGGCTTTGTGGATTGATGTAATTCATACATTTTGGGAAAATTTTCCACATTATCTCCTCAAAGATTTCTTCTACCTGACCCTCTTTCTATTTCTGGGATTCCAATTAAACATGTTAGTTTAAGTTGTCTCAAAATCTCAGATACTCTTTCTTTTATTCTCACTCTTGGTTTTAATTTGGGTCATTTCCACTGGGCTGAACTGATTCCATGTGCGGTGATTCCTTCCTATGCTGTATCCCATCCAGCTCTTTAAATGAATTTCTGCTGTGGGTTTGTTTTTTTTTTTTTTTTACTTCTAGCATTTTCATTTAATTTTTTATGGCTTGCTTTTCTGTACTAAAATTCCCCATCTATCCGTATGTGTTATTTTGCTTTTTCATTATTTCCTCCATCATATTTAGTATAATTTTTTTAATATTGTCCTTTACTCCTTTTTCTCCTCATCTCTTTAATTTACGGATAAAAAATCTCTACCTTTTTGGTATTTTATATGGATGACAAAAGATTGTTTTCAAAAAGCTCAATTTGTAGAAATAACATTGGATGGTTTATCCAAAACAAGACTTGAATACATTTAACACATTTATATATATGTATTCATTCAGCAGAATAATATTGAATGAAGAAAGTATTCAGCTTAGCAACTTTTTGATGATTTTATTGTTGTTGTTCTTTAGGTTGAATCTCCAGTGATCTGTAAAATCTTAGATACGGCAGATGAAAATGGACTTCTTTCTCTCCCAAACTAAAGGACAATAAAGTTTGGGGAAAGAAAAGATCATTGAAAGTCTTGATGATTTCTGTCTGACCATGTGTCTTATTATAGAGTTCTCCACCACTGGACCTCATCTAAAGGATCGTGTGAAAGGACTCTCAGTCACTTTGTGAATATATATGTGTATATAAGAGATTATTGATAAACGTCTAAGGCGGGCATTTGTCTCGCATTTATCATTTTTGTTGTGTCTTACAAACTGATTGTGTTTTATCCTATGCTTGGATAATATGATTCCTAAATAAATATCCAAGCAATTTAGAGTTCAGCCTAATGAAATGCCATAATTGTTATACCTACTGAAAGTTTTTAAATAATAGATTTATTATGTAAATTATAGTATATATGACTAGTGGATGAAGCAAAGATAATAAAGAAATTGATAGGAGGTTGTTTAAATGGGAGACCATGTAAAATATGTATTCTAGTGACTGAAATCCTTTCAGCCAATTTTATTTTGCAACCTCCCTCTACTAGGTATTGAGCTAAAAGCTGGGCACATGGAGCCTCACATGTAAGTTTTCTCCACTTCTGTTAATCCTAAGAAACTCCTGTTGGTAATAGGTTGCTCTTGTCTCCGAACTTTTATCTGTTTCTCCTTGATACGAATGTGTTTTCCCTAAGTATGTTCCAAGTGTACAGTCGGCGATCCTTCTGTCTTGACTTGAATGATTCACTCTAACAAAACATTCTGTGCGGCTCTCCTTCATTCCTGCCTCCCATGTACCACAGAGTTCAGTTCTGGACAGTTTGACAGCACTGTATTTATTTTAAAGTGAATAAAATGTCCACAAGCAGTGTTGTCATGTAGTCAATGGCAGATCATTTCATTTCTTTTGTCTACTACCCTGTGGCACACAAATTTATCCTGTTGTATTTTAGACATACATATCTAAATAAGAACAGAACAGTGGCCATAAAATACTCTTCCTCCTTTTCAGTAATTCTGGCCAAAGATATTTTAGTTTGAGAAACAGTTAATACAGTTTGGCTATTGGAGGGCTATTTGTAGATTTTAGTAGGAAACAGGACATACAGAAAAAGCATGGACTTTGAATGCAAACCTAAGTCTAGATACTGCCTTTAACTTACTGGTTGTGTGATTCTAGACAAGTCGGTTAACCTCTTTGGGCCTGCCTTCCTCTTTTGTAGAGAGACTACTTACTTCATAAGGTGCTTGTATCAGTGCATTAATTTTACTGTATATAAAAAGCCTGGCCCTGACCCGTGTGGCTCAGTGGGTTGGGTGTCATCCTGCAGACCAAAAGGTCACTGGTTCAATTCCTAGTCAGGGCACATGCCTTGGTCATAGGCCCAATAGGGACATGGGAACTAGGTCCCTGGTTTGGGGGATGTGTGAGAGGCAGCAGGTCAATGTTTCTCTCACACATCAATGTTCGTATTCCTCTCTGTCTCCCTCCCTTTCCCTCTCTCTAAAAATAAACAAAGTCTTTAAAAAAAATAGCCTAGCCCCAGTACTTGATACCAGGTTCCCAATAAGAGTTTATTTTCTAATACTGCTCTTGTCTTCTATTAACATAATAGGATAAGAGACCAAGGCCATTAAAATGTATGTATTTAATAAGTTATTGAGTCACATTTATTATACCAATGAATTAAGATAAATAGAATTAACCTCACATTTAGATTATAGGTATAGGAGGGGAAGGAATTCAAATTGAAAAAGGTTAGTGCCAGAAGACAATTTGAAAATATTTAGGCCAAATGCTTTCTCTTATAAGAGTGGGGGGGGGAGGAATATGTAAACATCTGTGTTAGAATAGTTTACCTCAGAAAATCATGAAAATCCAAGTTCTAATTATTTCATAATAAAAAGGTTTTTAAAAAAATAAGTCAGCCTTCTGTCTTGGCTAAGAGCTTCAGCGTCTTTGAGGGAGGGGCTATGCCAGGTCTGTCCATACCACTTCTAAACCCTGGGTCCCCTGTCAGTAGTCTATAAAGTCTCATTTGATCTCTAAATTGTTTGCTGCTACCTTTACTGTGCAGCCGTTCTGCTGTGTACGTAAGTAGGCTGACTTCCCAATAGATGGGAAGTGACTCAGCTATAATATGCCTAATGCACTTCAAGAAGTGTTTTTCAGAGTGGAGATTCTACTAAGGTGGGTGCTATCCCAGACCAACCTAACCAGATTCTTTAGGGCAGAGCCTAGGAATCTGCATTTTAAATGTGCTTCCTCAGTGGTTCTCTTTATTTTATTTTTTTTTAACTTTTTATTGATTATGCTGTTACAGTTGTTCTATTCCCCCTTTCATTCCCCTCCACCCTACCCCCCATCCCCACCATTACCCCCCTTTAGTTTATGACCATGTGTCTCAAGTCCTTTAGATTCTATATTTCCCATGCTATTCTTGCCCCCCTTTCTATTTTCTATCTACTGTCTATGCTACTTATTTTCTGTACCTTCTTCCCCCTTCTCCTCCTCTCACTCCCCTGTTGCTAACCCTCCTTGAGATCTACATTTCTATGTTTCCACTCCTGATCTAGCTGTCCTTTTAGTTTGCTTTTGTTTTAGGTGTGGTTGTTAATAACTGTGAGTTTGTTGTCCTTTCACTGTTCATGTTTCTTTAACTTCTTTTTCTTAGATAAGTCCCTTTAATATTTCATATAATAAGGGCTTGGTGATGAAGAACTCCTTGAATTTGATCTTATCTGAGAAGCACCTTATCTGTCCTTCCATTCTAAATGAAAGTTTTGCTGGATAGAGCAATCTTGGTTGTAGGTCTTTGGATTTCATGACTTGGAATACCTCTTTCCAGCCCCTTCTTGCCTGTAAGGTCTCTTTTGAGAAATCAGCTGACAGTCTGATGGGGACTCCTTTGTAGGTGACTGTCCCCTTAGCTCTTGCTGCTTCTAGGATTCTCTCCATTTTAATTTTGGCTAATGTAATTATGATGTGCCTTGGTGTGTTCCTTCTTGGGTCCAACTTCTTTGGGACTCTCTGAGCTTCCTGGATTTCCTGGAAGTCTATTTCCTTTGCCAGATTGGGGAAATTCTCCTTTATTATTTGTTCAAATACGTTTTCCACTAGTGGCTGTGCCTTTCCCCCTTCTGGTACCCCTATAATTCGGATGTTGGAGCGTTTAAAGATGTCCTGGACGTTCCTAAGACTCTCCTCATTTCTTTGAATTCTTGCTTCTTGACTCTTTTCTGTTTGGCCATTATTTGCTTTCTTCTGGTCCACTCCATTGATTTGAGTCCCAGTTTCCTTTTCATTGCTATTGGTGTCCTGTGCAATTCCATTCATTTCAATTAGTTTCGCCTTCATATATTTGTCTAATTTGTGGCTATAATCAACCAGTTCTGTGAGGATCCTGATGACCAGTGTTTTAAACTGTGCGTCTGAGAGTTTTGCTATTTCTTCATCGCTTAGACCTATGGGCTCTGGGGCTTTGAGATCTTCTTGCGACATTTTTGGTCTGTTCGTGCCCTTTAAGTGTGAGGAGTGGAGCCTTGGACTCCCAGGTCACTGGGTTTTGATGCTGTATGTGGGGGCGGGGTCAGAGCGGGGGAAATGGTGGCGCCCTCTGCTGTTTTGAGCCGCTGGGTGAGTAGCAGAGCCTTAGGTGGTTCACCAGGGCCTGGCCACTCAGAGTCGCTGGGTTATGAGGCTGTATGTGGAGGTGGGGTCAGAGCAGGGAGATGGCGGCGCGCTCCACTGCTGCGTGCCGCGGGGACCTGCCGGGCTCCACCCTTGCCTGTCCACCCACACACAAATGCGCGATAACAGTCAACACGCAGCACCGCTCCCCGCTCCCCCCCCCCCCTGTCTCCCCGGGGTCGCTCGCTCGGTCGCTCACTAGGTCCAACCCTGCGCCTGGATTCGAGCTTTCCTGTGCAACCCCGCTTCACAAGCCACTGGTTTCACCCCTTACCGGTCAGGCTGAAGAATTTGTTGTTAACGGACTTCCGAAAAGTTCAATTTTCCGTGTTCTGGCTGTGTTTTCTGTTGCTAATATTTAGTTGTCTCTAAACTTGGTTGTGTGAGAAGGCACGGCACATCCACCTATGCCTCCATCTTGGCGGAAGTCTCGGTTCTCTTTGTTTTAAGTAAATTCTTCAGTGAATGAGAATCACAGACATAGGAACTTCACTTTTAGCAATTTCATGCATACTAATTCTGATTAGGGTTTCGGGGAAATAAATAGTAGCTTATATTTACAGGAAGACTGTGACATGAACCTTTTTTTAGCTTTACCTGCTTTTCTTCAAGACACCACTAGATGGGGCCTATAGGCCAGCTCTAGTTTATATCCTTACCGCCTTGATTAACAGGAATTTGGCAACAAAGCACAACAAATCTCAGCTAAACTGAATAGGAAGCTTTGTGTATAGACCCTGGTGAACCACTTTTCCGTCAGTGTAATCAGTAAAGGCCTGACCTGATTTCTGACGATGCTTAAACATCCTGATACACAAGCCAAATGACCAACTCAGTAGCACTAAAAATCTAACAAAAAGCTAAACTGGGAATTTTTTTTAATGATTTAAATTTTGAATGAGTGGGGTATTCAATCAGAGTTTCAAGTGAAAATGAAGTATCAGCTATACTTAGAATCTAATTTTAAAGTCTTCCTGGCCCTCCTTGGGTAATTTTATTTATTAATGCTTGATTTCCATTTGAACATAGAAACAGAACTATCATATATAGATGCTATATGTTATTAGGAGCTGTTATGCAAAAAGTTTTCAATATGTTGCCTTGGTGACATGGCTTAAAATGAAATCCATTTCTTAGTTTTTTTCTGTTGTTGGGCATGGGGTGGTGGAAAAACCATGGACCAGTACATGCCATCGGGCATGCTTTATTTTACATGCTGATAGTCTCAAAGTAGGTCGCGCAGCAGGCAAAAGGACCCAGTGGATTGTGGGAAGAAAATATTTGAAATTCTACTAATTTTTTTACCTGCCAAAGACAATTAAGTTTCATTAATATCTAATAGGTAGACTGACACTGTTGCATACAGTCATTCATACATCACGTTTCATGTCATAAAAACAATATGAGGAAACAGTGGGCAATACATGTGTAGAAGAGTTGATAGGGATGCCATCACTGTTATTCATTTTCACCATATTATAGCATTCACTAAATGCCTCTACTGCCTCTCAGAAAACATATTAGCATCAAGACTACATATTGTTAGGTATTCGAGGTGTGTCTGGAAAAAGGTCCAGCCACGTTAATATGATGAGAACAAGTTTGTGCAGCATTGGTGTAACCTGGCAGCCAAGGAGAGTGGACTGTAATGCCTATGCGTGAGCAGTGATGACTTCTCTGTACTAGTCAGTGGGAGTGGTAGATGCCATTGAGTGAGCATGTGCACTGTGTGGCTGTCACATTCAAAATGGCTTAGCAAGTAGTGCAGTGAATCTACATCAAACTTTGCATTAAGCTTGAACATTTCTTGCAGAAACTATTTGCAGCTATGGGCAACTGGTGATTGGCAGCTTCATCATGACAACACACCCAGTCATGCCTCACCTCATACAATATTTGATGAAACATCAAATCACCCAGGTGACTCAGCCCCACTACAGTCCAGATTTTGTGCCCTGCGACTTCTGGCTTTTCCCAAAACTAAAGTCACCATTGAAAGGGGAGAGCTTTCAGACCATCAGTGAGATTCAGAAAAATACAATGGGGCAGTGGATGGCGATAGGGAGAACTATGTGAAGTCCCAAGGTGCCTACTTTCAAGGGAACGGAAGCATCATTGTCCTGTGTACGATGTCTTTTTTGTATCTTCACTAAATGTGTCTCTTTCATAGTACGTGG